TCAGCAAAAGGAAAATGACGGAGCAGCTCAGGAAAGGAGCTCGGGAATCGTTAAGGAAGTAGACCTTCTCCACCCCCGCCGGTATCTTTCCCCGTAGACTAAGCAATGATATTGAATCTTGACAAGCTGGGATAACACAAACGATGCCAAGTATCGGACTGTCCCCAGCTATCAATGGACAAATCGGAATTCGAAGTGGTCTGCTTCAAATACATGTATCTATCATTTCTGTAAATCTATCACCAAATACTTACCAGTAGGAAGCAGTGCCTTGGGTTGAGGATGCAGTTAAATGCTGGGCAGGGCGAAGGCTTGACTGGATCAGACCTGTTGACCGGTACTTTGAAGTTGATCCGAAATCGCTTTCGAGTAACTACCTACCTAGGTAAATAATTGAAATCTTAGGCTTACAAGTTATGCGTTTAAGCTTCTCAGCATAGAGATATGACATGGTTAAGATTCTTAATTGCTATTCCTATATGTTTCACACTGTACAAATATATCATCATACATCAGAAGAGGCGGTACAAATCGTTTCGTACCGTTTCGACCTATTCTTCGACCAGTGGGGCTGGAAATTAGATATGATACGGTGCATGCAATACGGAAAATCCTCTCTCCGCAGCAAATGTAGGTCAGATATGTGGTCCTATCGTACATACATACATAACAGTACAGTAGCCGCAGTGTAGTGCAGGAAAAATGTACTGTGCCTTCTTCTGCGGCGAAGGACATCTATGTTATACAGTGCATGTTGAGCTCTTGTAAGACTTACATTACGCAGTAAGTAAGGTAAGATAGGATGTATACATTACATTGAAAGATTGATTTTTGTGGTTCTTATTGACGATAATTTGACAAAAGGGATTCTCGAGATCGACTTGGCGAGAGTAGTGAGGAAGGGAATGGTACAGGAGTAGCGATAATGATAGGAGATCATTTCCTGGAAAATGAGGGGAACATGTAGAGATGGTTCTTCAATCACACTTGGGCACCCGTGTGAAATGTCTCGGTAGCATTCCAAGAGGTAGAAATTGATACCGCATACTTCCCCGATAGCTAGGTTAGCTAGACTCTTTGAGATAGAAGAACCTGGGAATATCCGGAGGAAAAGTTTTCACATCACAAATGTCTTAATATGGATTTAGCAAATCATATACGAAATCAAGCACAAACCCGTCACTTCTCATGCAACCATTATTCGTGGAATGAATACGACATGATAAAAGACTTTCATCCAGACGGAAGGATGCAAGCTGTTATACTTTCAAGCCATCACCTTTTCCGTTGGAGACTCATTTCATTTCATTTGTGTGTAATATGGGATGGGATAGGGACGGGGATGGATCTGTTATCGAATTCGGGTATGCTCAGATTTTCCATCCTCTAGATTAACCAGCAGCAAGCAACAACATCGCTAGGTTTGCACGGATTTAGGAGAGATCTTTTACAGTTCTCACGTACTACCTACCCGAGCTACCCTCTTACGCGAGTTAGATTCTCTCCAAATCCTTTATTTTGCCCCCAAATATAGGAGGGATTCTTCCAAGCAGGGGAATGGGAAACTCGGAAGGTGCTGAATCCATGTTCATTCGCGCAATTGCAATCAAAATCTGGCCACGGGCGATGATCTTTCCGTTGGTTTTATCTCGGCTCCTATTGAGTTTGGACCAGAGATTGATCATGGAGAGAATGATCAGAGATGAGGATGATGTATGGATGGTCGTAAGGATAGACGGACGGATGAAAAATACCTGGAGAGCCGGTTTTGATCGAATTCGGAAGATTGACACGATGCAAAATGCAAGTAACGAGAATTGGATGATATTCCGTGTGAATAGCTTGAATGGATAGACAAACCTAAGATACTACCTACCTACCGAGCTACGTTGGATGTAATCGTACATAGGCTCAAATGTAAAGTCGGAATGAGAATCTTTGGGGGACGATATGTCGCCGAGGAGTATAATGAATACAACGAACTGTTATTGAATTTTTCAATAAAGATGTCTTCTTTAAGTCATTTCGTGGTTGCATAAAACATGCCATGGGAACAAAACCTTTGTTGGTGCCTCGAGTAGATAGATATGACCTGACGGAAATCGGAGTTGGTAACAATGAATTGTTCATATTTAGATATGTGGAGTTTGGTGGGACTCGTCCGATCCTCTCATCTTTTCAATTCTCTTCCAATCGTCTAAATCTTTTTCCTACGATGATTGAAGGGGTAAGTAATGTAAAACGTACCTAAATGTGTCCTCACTTTAGGCCTTTAAACAAATCAAATCACACCCCTAGTTGAATATTTATATAGTAAACTCTAGGTAATGAAAGTATTACAAAATTATATTTTATTTATATTTTATTCAAAATCACAATTTTTTTATTACATTCTAATTTAGAATCCTATTCAGAGTCTATTTAAGTAAAAGCTTTCAATATTAATCTTGAGGGGAATAGCTCATTATCTATTCAATTCGCTTAGAACAGTAAATTATTCTATAAAAACAGTAAGATTTTAGTAAAAGTAGAGTTGACATCACTTACTCATATAACCTCTGTAGTCATTAGTTACTCAATTCATGTACAATACCAAGGTACGAGTAGTCACTGAAAAGTTATACAAAGCCGCCATTCAATTGTTCATATCATCTCAACGACTCGATGGTTTAAAAAACGCCGTGCCAACCATGTACCGTTGCCCATTGATATGGCGATTACCTTCTCTGATAGGATCAACTCTGGGTGATGAATGGCATTCATCTTGCATCTCGTACATATCGCTAAGAATAATCCCGTACTGCTTTGACCAGTAATGGCGCTTACGTGCCTTGCGATGAGAAAACCGTGGAGCATCGTGGAGCAAAGACACAAGGATCACATACAAGGGCCCATCCGATGCTAATGGTATTAGTGGAATGGTGGAGTTACAGAATAAACTAATTGGACGAATAGAATCATCAGATTCAACTATTTTCATCAGTCTAACCAATGAACCTGGAATCTTTCAAAATCTAATATCACCAATGTCACCAATATCACTTCTCATCAGGGCAATCACTCGAATCAAGAGATGAGTTCAACCATTCCTCATCTCATCACCTTGTACAACACAACATGAGCAACATGAATCCGTGTCTAACTATCTCGGAAGATCTTCCTTTCATAGGGTACCTATTCGATATTGGGTACATATTACAGAAATTAAGAATATCCACCTGTAGATATCATCTCGTCCAGTACATATTCAAGAATTATGTGCACCTAAGAATAACTTTGATACGTGACTACCTAGTACTTATCTAGTACAAGGCCTTTCATATCTCTTTCTCACAGCCTCTCTTGGAATAGAGGTACTATACACTATATACTAATCCATGATTCGTCTTACTGCTTTCCAATAGATGTATCCGGCTTGTACCAGGTATTGTTACTATGCCGAGATATTCCATTTTCAACGCAACTCGAAGAGTCAGGTGAGGGTACATTGCACCAAATTGTCAACCCGAGTATCCAATTAATGATCGACCAGACATGATAACGTTGAATCTTCCCCTCTCTTTGGATTACCCCATTGTAAGGTTACCAATTGCTTCTAATTATCTTCACAAGACTGTATACTGTCCCTAGTCATCAAATCTCGTACTATCTCTATTCCGGGTCTTTCATATCAAACCTAATTCTTTTTTCTAATCTGAATTTCTGACATCTGAGTGAATGCAAAATACATTGACCCACTTGCTGTGACCAAGAATACAGTATGTGGTCACCATCACAATCATCACATCTTGCTCTCCTCTATCAATACGTTTCTCAGAAAGGCAAATCAAGTAACGCACGTCAGCAGCCTCGAAAAAGGGTCGCAAAAGCCCTGACAGAATGCATAACGATTTGACAGGGTATAAATGGATTGACAATACAAGCCCGAGCACCATCCATCCATTGAAGGGGGGCGTCAACCCTTGAATAGCATGCTAGAAGCTTATTTACCAGGATTTGCTTTAAGCGGTATGTAGACGGTATAGTGGCTTGTCTTTCTCGACTTCTTACTTGGTACTAGACACATGAGCCGGACCGCGACCGCATCACTTTCCACACCACATTCTGTATCCCATGGTTCGGCTGGACATGCGTATCGAACAAATTCGCAGGTGCCAATTTCTAATTTGGTCTCCGCATTATCCACTGATAGCTCAAAGAATCTTTGATTAGCCGCTCTGTCCCATCGTGCCTTATAAACCCTACAATGCTCTCGGACTTAGTAACGAAAGCTATTAACCACCAAAAAGGCCATATACGGTTATTGTGCTCATTTTCCAGGGTCAATTTGTCTCCATTCTTTTTTATCTTTTTATATAGCGTTTAGTGATCTTTTGCTGCTTTCACTGGTACCCATACAAGCGCCATATCTGCCGTCTTGCGATTCGGTTGGCTCCAGGCATGAGACGAGGATCTTTTTAGTGCTATTCATGTCTTGTAGTCTGCTTTCGTACCACTTCAACTCACTTCAACTCACTTTGGAACATATTCTCCTCATTCCAGTTGTACATTCAACGTTCTTGACTTTTTCCTTCTCAACCATTGCACAAAGAATATTAGAACGAATTCCCGGAACATAACCACGCATCATAGTTGTTCACGGCGACACTGCAGAACGCATCCATTGATTCGGTAGCTAGAGTTACCCATTGCTATTCTTTACCGCCCGCCATATAGAATATCCCATGGGACAACCGATATAGACTCGGGCGTGGATAGTGATCAGCCCTCTGTACTGCAGAAAGCACAACAGCGAGGAAGAACGGCAAGAGGCCTGAGTTCTAGCTGATATATCTGTAAGTGACATTCCCTATTATCAAAAGTAGAAGAAGCATTGGACTCCCAGATTCCTCGGGTCTTCATGTGTTCATGTAGTCAACCTTTGGACAGAAAAATCCTCATGCAGCGGTCCGACTAACTATTCCGATGCTCGATCCACAGATATTGAAGTTATCACCACCATGTCTGTCGCAAGGACCCGGTCAATATCAATGAGATCCGGCCATTCATCCAAAGGCACTGGAGCCACATTGGCCGAAGTCAGTATGCCTCCAATCGCCGTACCCCGCGATTTTGAGCCCTGTGCTGCGACAGCATCGATGTTCTTATATGTGCAAGGAAATTCGGTTGTTTGCGCTCATCACGATACTCTTAAGATTGAAAGACGGTTTTCGAGACACACAGAAGAGATACAACTGTTAGCAGTAGATAATATTAGTGAAAGAGGAGCTGGAAGATTAGTAGTGAGTTACGATGCTGGCCAAACTGCAATTGTATGGGATTGCATGACGGGAGATGAAATTGCCCGATTTGCGAGTTACGAAAATCTTACAGTGGCAGCTTGGATGCGCAACGGAAATGTTGCATTTGGTGCGTATGGCGGGGTAGTGGAGGTCTGGGCTTTGTTGCTGATGAATTTCATACAGGAAATGCTCAAGGAAATGTTATTCTTTTTGAACCGACCACATCAGAGCATATATCCTCAAGAACTTTAGATCAAATTCCAATTACAGCTTTGGCACCAGCAGCGGACTGTAGGACATATGCTATTGGGTATGAAAAATTCCAGCAATACATTTTTGGGCATTTTCGCTGATATAATCGCAGATTTTCAAATGGATCTCTTTTAATCGCAGCATTGCAGCCAAGATTCATAATTCTTCACAACTTGACAACTTCAAGAGGGCCATCTCCGATCGTCACACTATCGTGGCATGCATCATCGTCACGCCAAAAGTCGGATATGTTAGCATCTCAAACCAATGACGGCGATCTACGGGTTTGGAGTATAGCAAAATCACCTACTAGCAACGACACAGCGAAAGTAGTCCGGGTATTGAAACGATCCGATAATTTTCAAACAGGTCCTAATTGGCTAGGCTGGTCAAAAAATGGCCGTATCATTCAGTTTTCCGAAGGGTAAGCAAACCTAGTGCTCTCCCCTTATTTGTCCCCCACATTGCATAAGGCCATGGGCGCGCGCTTAGCAACGACCACTTACACAAGGTGTGATACAGGGAAACATCGTCATGGGACGTTCGAACGAAACAGGTCACTTTCGAGAAAGTTCCGACATTGGATATTGTGAAAGGTCTAGCTGTTTATGGACCTGGAGCAACCCTCTTCACGCTGGGACCAAATAATACGGCACAGCAATTTGATCTTAATTCTCCACCGCAAATGGTGGCGAACGTTCAACATCCAGCCAATTTATTGCCACCTTCTCCCCCTGTTTCTATTGAGGAGCAGAAACAACAGGCCGCTCAAGCGGTCGCAGCTGAAGTTTCAGCTGTGCCAATAAATGTCGACATCTCCGAGAGTGACTCCGATCGGATGTCACCGCTGGCTAGGATTGCTCGACGTGGTGATGAAATTGAACAACAATTACGTGTGGAGGCCATGGAGCCTGACCGCTCCGAAACATTATCTCCCGTATCATCGAGAAGTCGCACGTCAAATTCTACCAGGTCATCTGCAGACTCAAGGCCACATAATACTCGGCATCATGGAAAACATTCTTCAGGCTTATCGACTATATCACGTGGAGGTATGAGTGAAGCAACAACTATGTCATTCGGCTCGTCGATTCATACTGGTACTGCTCGAGAACCTTCTGTTTTATCAAGTAGAGACTCGTATGCTCAAAGTAATACCAGCTCAGCACGATCATATCGTTCTCGACAACGTGGATCTCGGCTAAGACAAGAGGTACTCCGTAGTCCCGATGAGTCAGGAAGTCATGTCGTGGAGCTATTCAAGTATACCAAATCTAGGCTAAGTGATATTCCTTACCGTCAGCCACAAGTCTCAGAAAGTGGCCATCTCACGAACGATGATCTTCGACTCCAAATGCTCAGTACAATATTTGGATGGGATGGAGAAGTCGAGGGATTGATCCGTGATGAGATGAACAGAGCGCCAATGGGATCAACTCATAGAGTTCTTCTTGCTAAATGGATTGGCGATCTTGAGCTGGATATCATGGCTACAAGCTCCGAATCAATGACTTCTTCAGACTGGATGCTTCTTGCCCTAAGTGGGATTGGAGGACAAGCTTCGCAAACCAAGGTCGCTAGAGCTTATGTTCAAAGACTTCTTGAAAAGGGAGATGTCCACACTGCTGCTACAATCATGATTGGTATGGGTGATCAAAATGATGCAATCGAGATATACGTCTCCCACAAACGTTTTATGGAAGCATTGATTTTGACGAGTCATGTTTTTCCTTCGGATTGGTCTCGACAAGCTGCATTGATACGAAAATGGGGTGAGTGGGCTGTTCAGCACGGTCAACAACAATTGGCTATTCGATGCTTTTCTTGCACAGCATCTGAGTCGTCAGAACCTTGGACATCACCCTCTGCTCAAGCTGCAACTTTCACCAATATCCACCAAAGTATTCCCGAATTGTTAAGCCCTCCTTTATCGCCTCCTAGCCATAGAGGTCCACAACGAAGTATTGCGAAGACATCGGCATTGAAATTAATCACTGCGTTCGGAGATAAACAACAGAAGTCAAAGTTCTTTGGTATTGATAATGATAAGACACCGATTGGTCCTGGCCCAACACCAATCGAGGAATCTGCTATTTCTCCAGGTGGTGATACCGCACATACTGCTTTCTTGAGACCAGGTAATCGTAGCGCATATCATACACCAGCCTCTGCAAGAACCGCGACACCTGGTGGTTTTTCACGTCGTCGTCTTCCATCTATTGGCGAAACACCTCATGATGTTATACCTCGTGTCAGATTAGAGCCATTGAATCCGTCAACGCCTGGAGATTCTGGTTCAGACCGTGAGCGAGTTAGCCAATATGCCCGTGAAGCGGAGGCGGAACCATTGCAACTAAGCTCGGCGACATATACTCCAATTACAAAGAATAGACCTACGACACCCATGACCCAAAAGAAGATTGCCAATCCATTGCCATCGCCATCGCCCGATACATTTACTTTGAAGAAGCAAGACGATCGAACGAGGAATGGATCACGACATCGTAAGCCAGATGGGCTACAGATCCAGTGGCCACCGATGGAATCTATAATCACAGGCGATTACATGTCATCTCCTGAACCAACAGTGTCTTCCCGTCACGATCATCTGACTAACCGCTCAATTGGCGACCCTTTGAGCTCTGCTGCTCTATCATCAGCCGCTTCCGTTTCTGCCTCAAGTAATACCAGAAGCCCCTTGAACAGCGAAAGAAGTTTCAGAACAACAAGCCCAGTCTTGCACGGCAGAAGCATTGACCAATACATCAATAGCTTGGACACAGCCACGTATCATAAGAAACAACAACGTAGTCGTCAAGCTAGCCGAGATCGAAGCGGGAGAGCTCGCAGCAGTAGCCGAAAGCCAAAGGCTCGAGAAACTTCGGAAGACAGAGAAAGAAATATCATCCAATACATCAAGCCTGCAAAGCGTTCGCCAACCTCGCCTATTCCAATGTCGCCTGAAGATCTGAGAGATCTTGGCGCCGCAATCTCAGATAGCGAAGTCATGATTCAGGATAAGCAATTCAGAACGGATAGTCGAACGGGACTTAAATCATCAAGACAAGCAAGCCGAGTCCGAAAACAATCTCCTGAGCCACGCAAAACATCTAGCCGTCAAACAAGTCGCAACGCCAGTCGCAGACCAGCCAGTCCTGATACTAGACTAGGCGGTCGAGATGCCCGAGGCCGAAGCGCAGGTCGTTCTGGATCAGCAGTCCGTTCCCCTTCCTCTCCACTGCCATTTTCTCCTCAAGCAAAATTCTACCAGGAAGATGAGGTTGCTGACTTCGAGGACTTGAGGGCGGCAAAGGCAGATCAACTTGCGTTCAGATTGAGAAGTAGTAGTCGTATCAGAGAGCGTGGTACAAGTGCTGTTCGAGGGTCTTCACCAAGTGGAAAACGTCGTGAGAGATCTACAAGTCGTAGACCATTGGAAGGTCAGAGGTCGCCATACTTATCTAGAGATGGTACTGAGTCTCAATCTCACTTACGAACACAGTCAGAGTCAGTACAAAAGAACCCTCAACAGCAAAAGATGGATCCCAAAGATGAGCGAGCATTAAAGCGAGAACAAGCTGCACGTGAACTTGAGGAAAGACGTAAGTCTTTGGCTCAAAGACCATTGGCGCCACCGATTATTCACCCAGGAGAATTAAGCGGCTTGTCACCACTAGCTTATCGTCCCTCTACCAATTTCCCTGAGCAAGGATCAGCAGCGTCGTATTCGCCTCCCAAAGCAAGTCCCCAAGCTCCTAGAAGCCAACAGACTACACCAAACAATACTTCTCCAAATAGCGGTTTTGGTTCAGCTCCAGAGTCATCTGTGCAGATTGGTTTGCCAGCAACGCCAAGAGCTATGCGCCATCCTAAGTATGATCCTGAAGGTAATGGTGCAGAGCGTATTCCACAAGTTCCTCAAATTCCGAACAGATATGATGCGGGCTCATCACAAGCATCAGCAACATTGAGCGCAGCAGTTTTCAACAGTTCATCTGATAGCCCGCATGATATATTTGGACCTCTTCCAAAAACTGTGTACCAGGCATCTCAACCACCTCGTCGTATGCCACCCCGATCTGCCTCAGCTCCGATCCCAGAAGAAAATTTCTACAAGCCAAATGTGATCCCCGCAGGTTTACCACTACATCCCGCATTTCAAGCCGCAATTCCATCCAGTTCTTCAAGACGTACACCCGATACCAGAGAAAGAATATCACCAACCCAATCTTCTCGTAGACAAGTTTCCGGAGACCCCCATGGCGAGAGCGGAAGTAGAAGTGGAAGTCCGGTTTACGCAAGTGGACCTGTAAATGTGTTGACTGGAATCGATGAAACTATCGAGGCGAATCAGACAATGCCTATACACCATCCAAACAATGATCTGATCCCTCCACCACCACCGCCCCCACCAGCTCCTCCTCTTCTTCCGCAACTACAACATTTGGCTCTGCCCCCACCACCGCCTCCCGCTCCATTGTATAGACCAAATGCAAACACCAACTCTATGGTATCGGGTGTATCGTCAGGCTCTGGTATCTCTGGCGTCTCTTCCGGCTCCGGCGTCATCGAAATAGTAATGGACGACGAACCAATTCCCATGATTCCCAAGAGCAAAACTCCCACCATCTTATCCGCATCAACAATGAACTCTGGTTCCATAATGGAACCACCTCCGATTCCACCCACTCTCGAACGTCGCCGCACATCATCTGTCTCCCACATATACACACATAACCGCGGTCGTTCCGAGACGGACAACTCACTCTCGAACCGATTTTCGCGAGCCGCAGAGCGTTTGAGAAGCGCTAGCCGCGGTAGGAATAATTCGAGTCCTGTTGTTGACAAGGGAGTTACAAGAAGTCCAACCGAGAATGGTGGGAGTCCATATGAGAGTATTCCTCCTCCCACTTGGGCTGTACCACCTCCGCTCAATAGGAGTGTTACAACTACTCCTTCGAGTGGAACGCAGATGGAGAGACATCCTATGGAGGTGCGAGCTGCGTACCAAGGGAATATGGAAGGTGGAATGATTTGATCATCTCTATTTCTTTCACATCATGCGGCGTTTTAATTCTGCTTTCGTTTATATTCTTCCTTTGACGTTGAAATCGCTTCAATTTTTTCATCTTCGAATCTCGATACCCTTTCTATTATTTCTTCAATAACGCCTTTCATTCCTTCTGATTTCAAGCGCAAACAAACGCATAACGGCCTCTATTTCACATTCTCATAACATTAATTTGATAAACGAAAAGGTGGGCTGGATTGGAAAAATTGTTCACATAACTTTCTTGACCGTCATTTACAAGATTACATAAGAAGCAGAAAGATAAAAATTTGGCTCAGGCTTATGATGGTATTATGAGTCTTTATAGGAGATGCAACAGGCTCTACTGGTTTGATGGATATTCGTGGTACTTTTTTGTTGATGAGAAAGAGAAATTGTTCATAATACTGTATATCTACTTCTGCACTATCCTTGAATATATATTTACTTTTGCAAACTTATGATCTCTTCGTTTGCCTTTCATTGCAGTTGTTATGGGCTGGCATGGTATAATGCTTCCTGGTCCACCCTTTTGGCACTTGCAATTCTTTTCAGCCTTTGTTTCGGTGAGGAGTGGAGGGCTAAGTACCACCATGTTCCATTGATTTGGAAATGAGGTATTGAGAGGGCCCAATGAACAGATTGAAGAGGTTTAAGACACGAATTGGGGCTGAAGGAGAGCAAAACGAAGGCAAGACAACATAGACACAGGGGCAAAAAACAAAGATGGAAAATTGAGGGAATACGGACAAGAATTTGAACATAATGGAAGCACAATACCTAAGGTAGCTTGATACAAGGCAAGAAATGTATAAGACATAAGTATAAGCTTGGAAGTGGAAAACGAAAATGACATGAGGAAAAGAGTACGGTTAAACAAATGGGCGTGGTCTTTCTTATACTTCTTGCCTCACAGCTGGTTCATCGTTTGCTTTTGTCTTTTCTCCGAGACTGAGTAGGAGAGAATCTTTGATTCGAGGCTTTATTTGGATTTGCTAGGGTTTGAACTTTAAGACAACGCGTTGGATATGAATTGGCGATCTAATGATAAATATGACTTTTACCTGCAATGTTCTTTGCGATGTGACGGGAAGTTATATAATGTGGTTGTGATGTTGATGACTGAAATGCGTGTGCTGCGATAACCTCATGAGGGAGTCATAAAGTAATTATCTACTTGAACCCTTTGGATTTCAAGGGGACAGGAGATAGGATGTAGACAATCGAGCTCTTAAGGGATGTAGTTTCAACCACTTGGGATCACTTGCGACCCCACGCACAAAATTACATGCACTGATGAATATCTGAGTACATAGAAGTGGTAGTTATATATGTAGAACAATATTTCCAATTCAGAAGAAACAAAACTTCGTACATTGTCACTACCAGTATCAGATGGCAGTGTAGTATTCAACTTTGAATAACGATTGGAACGACATGTTAAAATTTGGGTATAAGGTTTCAAGTTTCTAGGACGAAGTCAACAAAGCCCCTCCCCAAGACCCCTGCAATGCTAGACACGTGACCTTCCAAAATTGTCCGAGCGACTAATTTTCTCACCAGATGAATCTCGAACTGAATCTCGAAATCCAGGAATTGGGCTCCGAAAAGACGTGCAGTGAACCTGCAACACCCAAAGCACCTCACAATGAGCGTTTCCCGTTCAGCGCGATGTGTCTTCAACGCGCCTCTCCCATCCCTCCGACCACTAACCCGACGACAAAATTTCCACGCCTCGACCCCCCTCCCCGCAAGACGTCGTGCCCGTTTTGCTAGTATAAAACAATCGGAGCTCGACGCTGCTCCCGCGAAGGAACTCTACCCTGGATACAGCGACAAAGAGAAAGCTTTGTTAGGGAAACGATATACCCCAGAGCAAATTGCTGCTATTGAGGCTGCGGAGGAATCGGTCGATGCAGATGATCTGAAAAGTCATGGAGTGATACGGACGGATTTGGGGAGGTTGAAATATATGGATGATTTGAGTATGACGCAGCCGGTAATCGACAAGAAGATCATGGATTATCGAATTGACCCAAATTGGACGCTGGATCAGGACAAAATCGGAGACGAATTCGTGGCGTACATGGATAAGGTTATGGAAGAGAATCCTGAAGATATAGATCCTGAGGATCCGGAGTGGGAAAAGAAACACAGGCCGAATAGATTGGATTCGCTGAAGGCGCTACAGAAGGAAATGGGCGATCCAAGTACTTTTGCGATTGCCCCGCAGGTTCCTGGAGATTTCACAAAGGACCCGGGTCAGGCTGCGGAGATAGGGAGGGAGGTGGACGAGGAAGATGAGGATAATCTCGATCCCAGGGATCCCGATGGAATTTACACTAAGTTGCGCCACCAGACTGGACTTACCATGAATGAGATCCTCGAACTCGACACCAAAATCCTGGTCAGCCATCGAGTCGTCAATCAAACCCGTCTGGGTAAGATTGACAGTATGTACGTACTGGCAATCGCAGGAAATGGAAAAGGCAGATTAGGCATAGGAGAGGCAAAGGGCCAGGAACCGGAAGATACGAATAATAATGCAAAGATTGCGGCCATCAAGAATATGCAACCAGTTCCGAGGTATGAGGAACGAACAATTTATGGGGATGTCGAAGGGAAGGTTAGTGCCGTTGAAGTTAAGCTTATGGCCAGACCTCCAGGTATGTTTCTGACTTTCATATTCGTCTTCTCACATACTGAGCTCTTTACAATGCGGGGCAAGAAGAGGGGCTAATTAGTTCTTAAATGGCAGGATTTGGTCTTCGATGTCAAAAACTTATCTTTGATATGGCAAAGGCAGTAGGTATTCATGACCTGTCAGCCAAAGTACCACGCTCGAGAAATAAGATGAATACTGTCAAAGCCACCTACCAAGCATTAATGAAACAACGGATACCGGATGAGATTGCTAGGGGAAGGGGAAAGAAACTTGTGGATGTGAGGAAGGTATACTATGGAGGAAAGGTATAAGGGGTATATGATGGGCAAATACATTGAAGTAAAGAGAGGAATATGTACATGTATATTACATATTGTATGAGTACTACAAGATGGATGCGGAAAATGAATGTGCGTTTGCATGGACTGGCGTAATGCTGGGAATGAGCACAAAAGCATATGGAAAAGCAAACATGGTATCAATTCATGATATTGCATTGGGGAAAAGATCATAGATAAGAAAAGATCTTGATATGCAAGTTGCATTACACATATTATGTGCGGGTATCTTAGTCCAGAACTCCTAAACGACAGATGAAGCAATTCCTCCCTTCCGAGTTTCTCTCTGACAAGTGTAATTCGTGATATCTCGTAATGATGCACTCTGCCATGCCATCAATGGCGTAAACGTTGCGGCCATAAGCTGATCTGAAACTTCTCTCATCCCTATGTCAAATCCGATTCTACCCTCCCATAATACATTCAATTTCCCACATATCGAGCCACCTCAGCACATTGCTCAGAAGTATTGAATGCGTAAATAGTTTGGTCTTAGTCAAAATTCCACCCACTTTATTCATAATCCCCCTCCTCACTCCCCTCCCCTCCACCATCACCATTCCTCTCCTCACTAATCTGTTGCTGCAGCACAATACTATAAACACTCGCTTTCAACAACGTAAATACTAAACTTGTTTTCCGCTCCAACTGGCGCAGATTATCGAGGATATAGGCTGTGGGATTATTGGACATTGTTTCGAGAGTGTGCGCGAGCTATTTTGGATATTGGTGAGCTTTGTGAACCATATTATAGAATTGGGTAAGGTGGGAGGGGAAGAAGGATGAAGAGGAAAGAGAAGAGGGAACAAACAGTCTTCATATTCTCTGCCAAGCGCTCATACTCATCCAACAAATCTTGCTCTGTAGGTGAGAGATCCTCATTTGTAGGGAGTGGAATATTGGATGCGACTGTCTCCATGGTTGCGACTGTCTTTTCAATTGTGATCCAGTTGCAATTGTAACTTGTGTTTAGACGATCCTTGGTTGTGAGAGTTACAGATAATTTGGCGATATCTTGGAAAGTGTGCGGGCCAGACTTCCGTGAAGAGACGTGGTTTGGGGAAGTTCTATCGCTGGACTTGATGTCACGTCGTGAAGTTCCAACGATTGTCAACCCCGCAATTACAATGGTCACGTGAGTATGAGGCTCAGACTTGGCTCTGTGTAAGGAACAGCTCGAAGGCATCTAGGGTCCCCTGGAGATGTACACTATGGTAGATTCATTGATGGCCTTGATGTCTTGACTAAGAGTTAGCGACATGGAGTTGACATCGCATCACTTGTTAGATCAGAAAGTATCAGACAGCAATAGTCGATTGTGCAACAATTTAATCAATTTTCATCTACTACATCTCAATCTACGTAACTTGAGACGTCTTATTTCGCAATGATCGCTTCAGTCATTCTCCCAAAACTCCGCTTGCTCTTCAATCCATGTATAGTTTTCATTCCTTCAAATGCTCTATCTTTCCGACCACTTGTCTAACTCCTTACGATCCTCCTGGTCCTCCCAACAAAGCAAATCTTCGGACAATGCTTGGACCTATCTCATCATACTCTGTTTGATATTAGTATAATGAACTTAATCGACAGGAGAAAAAAAAGTATAACTTACCTGCTTTAGTGTGACAATAAGATCTGAACTCGGGGGTTTGACCCAAAAGACTACCACCGAACCATGGACCATGTCGTTGTCTCTTATGGGAAATGACTTGAACTTCCAAACCTCCACTCCTTGCGCCACCACTTCGTGCTTCGCTGGCTCTAATTCTGTCATCCACCAAATGTTTGATATCACGTTGTAACCTGCGACCAAAATCTTTGTATAATGTACTTCCCCCAGATAAGACAATGTTCTTGTACAGTCCACGACGAACATCGATAGGCGAAGATTGAATGACGCCGTCGACCACTGTTGGAAGTGGAGTCAAGAAATCGGAGGAGTGAATTTCTGGATTGAAGAAGATTTCTGGTGCAAGGAATCGTTCGTAACCAACATCAACAGTTACTTGACGCCCGCCGGGCTGGGTAACAGTATGCTTCTCGAATCTCGTAGGGTCGCGGTCGAAACGGCCAAATTCCTTAACAATATCTGGGCAAACGTAACAGTATTTTTCTTTGATTTCGCCGGCAGTCTTCAATGAGGAGTCCGGTTCACCTCTGTCTCGAAGTAAGGATTGAATGAAGTATGTAATGTCTCGACCAGCGATAGGAATTGATTTAATTGATGATCCAATGACGTATCCTTCTGCAACAGGAATTACGTGTGTTACACCGTCTCCAGAATCAATCACGGTTCCAGTCAAGGATCGATCAGAAACTTTAGATGAAGTCCACGATGCGGCCAACGCGAGTACAGCTTGGACGGCAATGTATAGACCAGCGCAATTGAAGGATTCGAACATAATTTCGGCAGTATTCTCACGATTCTCGGGTGGATTGAGTGGCTGGGAAATATCGGTAAGTGGGAATTTCATACGGACTTGAGGAATGAGCACATACCGGTTCTGTTAATAGAAAGTAATGATCTTCTGGCTCAACGCGGAGATATTTGAATATCGAATTGGACCAGAATCTTTCCATATGATCCTGCAGATTTCATGTTAGCCTTTTCGCCTCGATCATAGCTTTTGACCTCCTTACCCAGTTATCAATTTGTCCGTGACGAATTGGATAGTTTATGCCATAACCTGCATTCATCAGAACGATTCCCAATTCCATAGATTCTATAACTTGTGCGCACCTGGTCCACTTGCGGCTGCTAATGCCTCGTCTCCGATAAAGAAGTCCAGATCTTCAGTTCCACGTTTCATTGAAAGATGTCCTCCTGGCCCAGCACCACCTATAAGATATGAAGGCTTGTTGGCAACTGCAGGACGCCCGGATCCTGAACCTGCACCAGCTCCTGCGGCATTTTTTGTCGCTATGGCGGTAGGGAAGACGAAGGAGGGAGAATCATTTCCAGCGAAACCTATAATTGAGGTATTATTAGTTGTGTGCCTATCTTCTCGGTAGAAGAGAACAAACCAAGCTTGGAGTAACCGGTACCGCTATCGTTAAAGTATCAGTAATTGTTCAAATGGATAGCATCCCTTTACTCGGGACACGGGGATATAGAATGCCTTGTGGGGATCTCGAACGTACTTGTCCATGACAACGGCCGGAGTGTGAGAAGCCATATTGAAATAAAGCTGCGCAATGCAGACCCAGAAGTGATGAGAAAGTTATGCGACAGCTTTAGAGATTGTAAATAACTTGTGCTGATAAATAACAGCTGGTATTGACCGTTGGCGTTTGAATCTAAGCTTCAAGATGACGACCCATACCTAGTGTAGGCGGTGCGGACCTAAACGAACTAACCCCACCAGTGCCAGTGACAGCCAGTAAAGTACGGTCAAATTGAGGATCACGTGCACGGAACATAAAGTTGATATTCCTGACTTCACTGTCGTCCCCTCGCTCTTCCTCACGTTATGGGAAGATGATTGAATCTACTAGGCTATCCAAGGCGTACGGGGAAAGAAATATGAATTAATCCCTTTCTCGAGAGAGGAGAGATTTGAATGGGTGAATGAATGATCTTTTGATTGAATGAGATCGTTTTCATTATCTCGTAAACTTTTAAGTGAACAGCTCTTTCCCTTTTTATCTCCAACCTCACTGCCTGTTCAATCTTACTATGTAATAGTGTACTAGGTACATATTTCAATGTCAACAAGAGATACTTCTGTTCACTCTACATCCTAAGATTTCTTCCTCCTCAACTCTAAACATTACCACCGCGTCTATCATTTCTTTCTCTAACGAAATCACACACTCAATCTCTTTCACGCACATACACATTCACATACACTCGTTTTTTCGAAACATATTTCATAAAGCTTTACCTACGTTGTTGTTTGGATCCCAAACGTCTCAGCCGTTCTCTTGTATCTCTGATATTGATTCTACCGCCCGAACATATCTTCGAGGTTGACCGAAGTCTCTTGTGACAGAAAAGCTTTCTGTTCTTGTATAGTAAAGGACACCCATTGCAATCAGAGATATTCCTGTGGTATGCCCTATAACTGGCTGTATATGTGATGGTTGATAGCTGATTTATGTGCAGTTTCAATAATTAAATTGTTCTTGATCTAGATTGCGACCTCGACAGAAACAGCGTTAGTGAAAAACGACATCTCAGACGGCTCTCATCAAGTATCCTTCTCGTCATCCCGCCCTTTCCTTCAAGTTCTTCAAGTTCGTCAATTCGAAATCAGAAATCGTTGCGGAAACCACAAGTGCACGTTCTTACTCACATATCGGTTCTCTCAGCTGGGACTTCCTGCCAGTGTTCCGCCCCCCCTGATACAATCTTCGAGTATCAATATATTCATATTCACTTGAATATAAACGTTTCACCTTTACTCCTCACTTAAGAGACTTCATGTCTGAACTCACGCAACGATCCACTTCTCTTTCTCAACAATCTCTGTTCGCTAACAAAATTGACATTGCGCGAGAGCGTCTTCGTCAACTCCGTCGCGAACTCTACAATCTTTCCAATCCATTTCGCAAGTTTCAAAAATATAACATCGAAATTATCCCGTCCCCATTCTTAGATCGCGAAGGTCCATGGTCAGAATCCCCACCATTAATAGCTCCGACTCCTTTTTACCCAAGCATGCAGACCAATAGCATGCCTGCCATGAGTTTCAATCCAGTAATGGATGGATCAGCGGATACCAGAAGACACCGTCCAGCACAACCTCAACCCTGTGTATCTGCGATATTCGTACACGCGGGTGCAGGTTATCACAGTACTACGAATGAACACATTCACTTGGGAGCTTGTAATGAGTATGCTAACTGAATCAAGGATTGAAGCCTTGAAAGTTTGATTAAGGCGTGTAAAGCTTTGCTGACTTTTATTTAGTGCTGCTCGCGCAGCAATGCGAATTCTCAAAGCCGGTGGTTCAGCTGTTGATGCAGTCGAAGCTGCGATCAAAGTCCTTGAAGATAAGGAAATCACCAACGCCGGATACGGCAGTAATTTGTCAATTGAAGGTATAGTTGAATGTGACGCAACAGTGGTAGATCATTTAGGTAGAAGTGGTGCCTGTGGCGCAACTGCTCGTAAGTCAATTGTCATGTTTCCACGTCAATCTACTGACCAACACTTTTGCTCCTAGAAATTAAGAATCCTGTTAGTTTGGCAAGATTGATTTTAGAAGCTTCAAGTCGGCCGTTGTCTTTACGAAGAGTCCCACCCAACCTTCTCGTCGGGCAAGGAGCGACGGATTTCGCATGGGAGCATGGAATACCAGTTGTACCACATGATATGATGTGCTCTAAGAATGCGCGGGAAAGATATATTCGTTGGCGTGACGATTTACGTCGTGCCGAGGGACAAGGTCGTATGACGCCATCAAGCACTAATAGCAGTCAAGCTGCTGACGATGAGGCTGCCGCTCGGGAATACGAAGAACGCGTGAGAGCAAAACAGCGTCGGGACCATACCAATGCACTTATGACTGGTACATGGAATGAAGGGCAACCTGATTCTCCTTCAACGACATCCCCAGGTCGAGCATGCCCTCAAGAATCTGGTCCATATTCTCCACGTCCTGGTACTCCTCCGAGCCGAGGCTATTTTCAAATGAATGCACCAGGTCGTGGAGCTTCTCGCTCTCCAGTCGGAACAACTCCCGCGAAACGTGCACGACTTGCAGCACTTAGTGATGGCAGTCCGGGACGAGTTCAATCTCTCCTATCTCCAAGTGTTACTACCAGTGGTGTAACCAGCGAGCCGGGTATATCTGCAAGTACTGCTCCATCCACAATCGATAGGCCATCTAGTACAGACGGTCATCTCTCTCCAACAGACCAGGAAAAGGTTATTGAGATGCATGCTGCTTCACTGGATCTAGCCCAAGAAGGAACAATCGAGTGTCCTCATGAGTTTACTCCAGAGCCTTTTACTCCTAAGAAGGCTGACGTGGACTTGATTACTGATACCGTCGGAGCTATCGCCATTGATATGTATGGCCATATTGCTGCGGCATCTTCATCTGGTGGAATTGGGATGAAACATCGTGGCCGCGTTGGACCCGCTGCTCTTGTAGGTATTGGTACAGCTGTGGTACCCTGCGACGAAAGAGATGAAGACCAAGTATCAGTTGCTGCCGTTACCAGTGGTACAGGAGAGCATATGGCGACTACCATGGCTTCGCAAAAGTGTGCAGACAGACTCTACCACAACACCAGACGTGCTCGTGGTGGCCAGGATATGGAAGCTAATGAGGATGAAGCCATGGAATCATTTGTCCAAGCAGATTTTATGGGTCATCCTGGTGTCAGTGGAAGTAACTCAGCAGGCGCAATCGGTGTCATGGCGGTCAAAAAGACACAGTATGGATATTTCCTTCACTTCGCTCATAATACCGACTCATTTGCCTTGGCATCTTACGCTTCGAATGAAAAAGATGCCAAGTGTGTTATGTCTCGTCTTGGAGATCATGGAAATGTTGTTAGAGGAGGCCGAAAGGTTAAGATCGACAAAGATTGACTTCCAGCATCACGTCTCACGCGAATCACCAACCTTCTACTTTAAGGTGCAGAACTTGGTACTTGCGAATGGTAACTCGATTCATCATATCACTCATTATTTTTACAGGCGTTGTTGTGGAGAGAATGCACTATTGCTTACGGAGAAAGGTACCTTATGATTTTTATGAATATGACCAACAAGATAACATTGAAGAATGGAATCGAATGAACATGATGAAGAGGAGCCATTGCTAAAACGAACGAAACATCACATTGCCCTTGACCTAAAACACTTTCTGCTTGGAAACCAGATGGGTTGTGACAGAGGGAAAGGGGAAGATGGATAGAGATGATAGTATTGCTTATGCTCTATTGCTACGCCATTAGAAGGCGATATCTGATAACCTAATAGAACCTAAAGTTACTCTTGACTTCGAGTGAGATATGCTGCAATAACCCCCAAGCGTGATGCTGGTGTTTTGTATGCATAGATTTTGTAGTTGAGCTTTCTCCTGCTTTTGCTCATGTGATTTGCCATTATTTTGTGAATCCCAATACAGTTCATTCTGTTCATCCTCTTCATCATCATCGTCATCCAACTCGAACTTCAAACAGTATACCGGAAACTATTGGAAGATGTGCCATACCGGCGGATTCCCCCGCCATAATTCCATCAGATTAAATTCCACGTCATGTTCTTTAGGTAGCTGACGCAAAAATTACAGGATGATCATCTGGTATCTCCCTTACGCAGAAATCCTGAAAGCTTCCAGCTTACCGTCCCCAAACCCCTTTGTCCATATCTCCACCCCCTACCCTCTCAAATTCTCTAGAACAGCGATTATTGTTTCGACCGAGTCATCAAGGCTGAAGATCTTCCTGGTCGTCGTATTTGCGTCTCTTCTTATCCATTTGATTGAGATCAAAAGCTAGATAGCTCAAATATTTACTCCCCAGGCGCAGGAGTACCCCTAGCACTACCCGTTTCCACACCTGCACCATTAATCTTGCGCTTCTTCTTCTTTTTACGTGGGACAACGGCAGGTTTGGCACCGTAATTTCCGAGGGACAGGTGCGTGGAGCAGGTTAGGCAGATGGCACCTTCGGGGGGCGAGCAGAATACTAGATCGAGGAGAGAGAGATCAGTCTGGTCCATTGTTTTGCAAAAAGGAGGGGGGGAAGACATACTGCTCAAACATATACTGCATACAAAACCCACATCAACCACCTTCCTATGACAAAAGCACGCAGCTCTAAAATCTACCACTTCCTGCGTTGGCGCTATTAAATCCTTTCGACTTGTTTGATCGGGCAAGAATGCCATCATTAGATATTGTAATAATCCTTGCGGATTTTTCAAATGCATGTATATCCCTCTAGTAGTATCACTAGCTTGTTGTAGAAATACAGTGTCACCAGCGAGTTTCAATATATCGATTGGAATCCGCATACGCTGTGCGGCGAATGTGGTATTCATGATTGGGATATATTGATGTGCGAGATCACCAGACACGGAGAGAACGAGGATTCGAGATTGTAACCCGGTGGTAGAATCTGAGGGGGTGATATCGGAGGTAGTGGGCTTAGAATCAGCAGCTGAGACATCGCTGTAGGCTGATAATTGTTTGTTTATATATGAAAGGGCCAGGGTAAGGGCACCGGCCATTTGCGTAGTAGTTGTGGTAGATATTTCTTGCTCAGTTGTACTATCTATTAAGTTTCGTACAGAGTTTAGGAGGGTGTTTTCGATGAGCGCGAATTGTCTGTATTTGTTCGCGTCATCGGGCGGACTATGAGTAGTCGAGCCTCCCATTTCTGTATCTTCAGACGGAAAAGGCGGTGCTGGGTAAAGCCACACTGCACGATGACAATGGCTAGCTATTATGGCTACTTGATTGGCATTGTTGACAGCGAGATGCGCGTTTACGAAGACGAGGAGATTGGCTATCGCTTTCGAGAGAGGAAGAGTAGATGAGAGGATTTCCCACGCGTGCGGATTGGTATCTAGGATAATGACGAGGCATGAAGGAGAAGGACCTGTTTCTTTATTAAGATGACATGTAATTGCCACAACAATTGTTTGACCATACCTTTGACGCCTCCTGTGAAATGATCTGTACCATCTATACCATCCATGATGAAAGCCTTGCAGGCATGACAGCGTGATAGGGTCGAAGTCCAAAGAATATATTCGTTTTCCCGAATTTGTATGCGACTTGAGATACTACTACAGTTCAGTAGATTGAGTCCCTTTCCTTGCTGTTCGAAAAATCCATATAATTGCGATTGGTATTAATTTCTCTAAAGGCTGAGAGAGTTGATGGAATTATGAACAAGGCTAGATGATCTTCATCCAGGGTATAATGCGGAATGCGGGTACGGCCACCCTTGTTGTCGCCTGATCATGTGATGCGACCGTTTACAGTACTTACCCAAAGAAGTGGTTTCACAAGGGAGGGGCATTTACTCGTACTTCGTATAATTTGGAGCTTTCCCCTCATCTTCATCTTGACCATCAACTTGATCGTCATCTTGATCTTCCTATTCATGATTTCGTTTCCATCAAGCTTCAACTACATTTGATACTTCATCATCATGTCAAATTCATTTGACCAATCCTTCGAAAGAAGAGGCACTGATCCAAGTGTTCCTCATGCTACAACTGCCGCAAATGATTCCCTTGAGGATCAAACACTTCTCTTACTTGCCCGTTTGACAGAAGGTGGACAAGAAGATGAGGAAACGTGCAAGGAATTGAACACTCTCACCAAAATTCTCAGTGATGATTCCAGCGAAGAAACGAGATCCAAGGAGCCACACAAAGCTCTTTTCCAATTGATCGATCAAGATATTCTAGAAACCATCCTGGGTTATCTTGACATGAGACAGTCTCCTTCGGTCCGAGGTCATGCGACTTTGACCACTTCTGCGTACCTTAAAGCTTCGGAACAACAAGGAGTTGATTATCTTTCTCATTTCTTTTACGATCGAGTAGGCAAAGGCACATATGACGATTTGATTCTAGCCTTCTCCGTTGCAGCATCGATATTTCCCGTGGTTCCAGATGTCATTTCTTCATTTTTCCTAAGTGAGGGTTTCATTCCTAGTCTGGGTACCTTGATGAAGAGGAAATGGAAAAGTCGAAAGGTTGAACAGGCTGCTCTAGAGTTGCTCAGTGCTGCTTGTATGAACACCCCTTGCCGAGAAGCCATCCAAAAGCATTGTACAAAATGGCTCGAAGAGATCGTCAATAATACTCCACTCAAAATTTCTGAGATCCCTACATCGCCTATCGATAGCAATGCAGAAGATGGCTCTATACAACAGCGAATACATTCCGAGCAGGTTAGAAATCTCGCCACTGTTGTCTTGGCCAAGATTCAGGTATGCTTCTTACAATTTTACCTGCATTATCAATGACACACTTTCATATTTAACAAATTCCCTCTTCAATCAATTGTTCTGACTGACCGCAGAAGTGAAGGCTATTTCTTCAGCACCCACTGCTGATTCCGGGGAAGGAGATACTCCTGGAAGTACAACTATTGAAGATCTTTCAGACATGTTTAAAAACATGCTTTCTACAGATACATCTCAGCAAAGCTCGATTGAAGGTCTCGCTTATGCTTCGCTGCAATCAAAAGTTAAGGAGAAGTTGGCTTCAGACAAAAAGTTTTTGGTCAATCTTGTCAAAACCATGAAGGATGCCCCGCCCAAATCACCGGCAACTTATGGAGCTCTCACTATTTTTGCTAATCTTACAACATACCAACCTCCCTTGACAGAAGAACAAAAAAAGCTAGGCCAATTGAAGGCTTATGCTAACGCATCAAAATCTGCCCTTAAACCAGATCCTCTCAACGACGATGATCACGTTACTAAGAGATGTCAAAACATATTCGATGCCGGTGTTATACCTGTTCTTGTCACCCATAGTCAACATGGATCAATAGCATCTCTCACACTTGTCACATCCATCATTTTCTCACTTTCCAAGATAACTAAGATTCGAGGGAAAATGGCCCAACAAGGTGCGATTAAGCTCCTATTACACGCGGATTCTATATTTCCCTCAGATAATATACCAGCTCGAAGAACAACAGCTCATGCCCTTGCCCGTATCCTCATATCAACCAATCCACAACATGTATTTGGCGGTACCAATCCTCTATCACTTGTCTCAGCTATTAAACCTCTTCTTCTTCTCCTAGAGGATGACCCAAAAGCTGAGCACCGCGATCTCCTACCTGTGTTCGAGTCTCTCCTGGCCTTAACAAATCTCGCTTCTACAGATGATTCAGCGCGTAACCCTATCATTCGACTGGCTTGGCCCCAAATTGAAGAATTGCTTCTTTCCAATAATACCATGGTAACTCGTGCAACAGTAGAGCTTATCTGTAACCTCATGCAATCACCAGAAGGCGTTGCGAAATTCGCAGATGGCAGCAAGCAAGCTTCACAACGTACACATATCCTCTTGGCCTTAACGGATGCCGATGACTTCGCGACCCGAAGAGCAGCAGGTGGCGCGTTAGCAAGTCTTACGGAATGGGACACTGCCGTAACAGCTATCTTGGACAGGGAAAGAGGAGTCAATCTTCTATTAGCTCTGTGCACGGAAGAAGAAGAGGAAATTAGACATAGAGGTGCAGTTTGCATTCTCAATATACTGACGGCACCTAATAAAGTTGGGGAAAAGGGAAAGGAAATGGTGAAGGAAAATGCGGGATTGGAATGTCTGAAAGAGTGTTTGAAGAAGTCGAGGGGTCAGCAGGTTTTAGAAATTACCGTGGAAGCGTTGAAGAAACTCATGGGTGATGGGGAAGAGGCGAAGCTACTGGAGGGTTAAGTACTTAGATAATTGCGGGTAGTATTGTGCAATAGCAGAATATCAAATAGACTCTCAACATCCATCTACCTGGGATAGATTGCACTCGTGACTAGTTATTTGTGAAATTCCTGAGGATGTTCTACATCGTAGATACTTGCAACATTACACATTTATATTCATAACACCCGGGTCTCTTGAGTCTTAATCATTCTCGAGATTCATTCCATTCCTAAACTTACAAATTTCCATCGCACATAGAGAAGTTGTATGCTGAATTCAGTCTCAATCTCAACTGATATACCAACATGGTTCCATCTCTACGTAGTGGATACTAGATCCGCATAACGTTAAAAAATATCAACAAGTCGTTGTGATTATTCTTCTTCAAATTGACAACAAAGATTCCCCAATCACGTTATCTTCTTATCTGATATCTACTCCGAGGATGTCCCGATTAACCCCACACCTTCTACCAATCACATCGCTGGATATATCTTACCCTATATTAAATTAAAAATCTCGTCTTACCCCCGACTGTAATGGTCATAAGGTTAAGGCGAGTTCACGTTCCCTCATCCGTCTTTCCAAATTCTTCAGTCTAACGATTGGAGGCCACCAATAGTGCCCAGTCCGAACACCACGGTGACAATCCACTCGTGTGGGAAACTCACGATGCTGTGCTTGTCCTAAGCAATGAAGATGATTTCTTGAGGGAGGTTTCACTCTGCAGAGAGCTCTTCACCGTGGGGTGGCGGTGCAGGATTACATTCGTTGTGTGGTTTGGATGGTGGATGAGGCTTGAGTTTCAACTTTTGCCTTTTTTTATTGTTCGTGCTGGTTTTGGGAATTTTTAGGGGAGTGGTAATTGAATGTACAGATAGATGTTCACAATGAATTATTTAATGTGTGTCGTTTTGGGAACTTTCGAAGCTATCGCGAGATTGGCCCACTTTTGTTATGTTTTGCCCCATGCAAAGTTTCTTCATTAAGTTATACTCTAGAATTTGCAATTTATGACGATAGTCAACTGAATTCTTACACCCACTGCCCTTGATGATGGTTATTATTCAATCTTTTATCCGCAAGCTAGATTTTGCCCTTTCCTTGCTAGGTAAGTCGCAATCATTATATTGATTCTCGACGAGCAATTAATGGGGGATGAACGTATACAGTAAACTTCCCAGAGTGCCCCCTCTACGCTGTGGCTTCAATTTTACTCCGTAGAAGAAATCACAGTTGGAATATCTCTAACCCTTTCAACTTGTTTATATCCTACTGTCATTGAATTCTTTTTCTCAATGAAATAGCTCGAGTTCACTTACACCATGTCAAACAAAGCATTTAAGAGACATGCATAGTGATCAGCATAATCTTGATTTGCAAAATAGAAAATGAGAAAGGACATTCTAGCCAATTTGAACCACGCTCGTTCTACCGGCAAATTTCCAAGTCCTCATGATAAACGCCCTTTTAATATTGATACTCCGGCAATACAAAAACTCCCTACTCAGCTCCCCGTCCTATCCCATCCCGTGTGCCATCTTCTTCTTGACTCATAATTCATCATCATCATCATCCGTCTCCGGAAAATATCCTTTACAAGATGTCTCCATTTCCATTGATCGCACGATGGTTTTCGGAGCAACATCTGTTGGTGGCGGTGGCGGTCCCATAATCTCCCGATCTATCAGACTATCTTGTTCGCGCATCATTTGGCTTCGGGACATGAGTTGTGATGAACGAATTAGAGAGTAAGGGGCGGGTGTTGAAGAGGGGTGGTATGATTCTTGTTCACCCTCGTCTTTTATTGGGTCGTTATCTGGAATGTGATTGACTTCATTTTCTTCATTTCCTGTGTGGTGATCGTTATCCTTTTCATTATTTACATCACTTTCATCTTCATTCTCACCCTCGATCTGACTCTCAATCTCGATAACTGCACTCTCCCTCCTCGCCGCCTTAACAGGCAAACTATCCTCTTCCAGTTCATCCTCATCATCACTCTGACATTCAATCTCAATAGCCATTCTCTCCCCTCTTCTTGACACAACAGGTGTCAAACTCTGCACCGGACTACTTCCACGCGAGGAAGAAGGAATAGATTTTGCCGGCGACTCCGGAATCATCTCTGGAATAGGAGTTTCCTTTCGTTCATGTCGTAGACGACGTGGAGTAACAGGTGTTTGAGTTTGTGTATAATCAACCGTCGAAGCTTGTGATGGCCTTACAAATCGACGTTGTGAAGATGGTACATGAATTACAGGAGTTTGAGTTGCGATTGGAGGCGAAGAAGGGGGCGACGAAGGGGGTGAGGCAGAGGGTGCTTGTATATGTGAGAATTGTTGAATGTTATTCGTGATCTGATCTAGTACCTCTTGAGATTCAGTGCTCGTACTTGATTTTCTGTGCAGTGTGGATGCGGGTGGTATATTTTCGACAGCCGAGGAAGATTGTGTGAAAAGAGGCGGTAATAAATTCGCAATCAATTCCCCTAACACTGCTGGTGGTACCTTGTTATATTTCTGTGGGGCAGCTTTGAACCATTGTCGACTCTTCAATTCTTCCAAGGTCATGGGATTTGCGAGCGCATATAGTTCTAGGATTTCATACGCAAACTTAGAACGTTTTTCACCCTTGTTAAACTCGCTGTTACCAAGTCCATCAAGTTTCGTTATATCCCCGGGTGCTTTGGGCGGACCAATGACGGCCATATGAGTAAGAGTCGATCGGGGTCTGGTTTGATAAATCCAAATACGGGATACAGTAGCTGGAAAACCATAAGATCGAAACTCGTGGTTCTTCTCACGGGATATTATGGTTTCCACAGTGGTAGGATATATAGAGATGAATACATCAGAAGAATCTGATCGTGGTGCCATAGCATCCAGATGTTGTGTGGAGAGGCGTTGGCTTTCAGGATATTGACTTTTACCAAACTGGGTCTGCTTTTGGGTATATTGAGTTCCAGTGCGGCGAGTTTGAGTCTGGGTATGCTGCGTAGTGGCATATTGGGTTTTTGGTAACTGGCTACTGCCATAAGATACAGTTCCGGCCGCGTCGTCACTTAATGGAGTGCTCTCCACGATATCACTTAGACTTGACGATGGCATGATCCGCTCAGCTTGGAATTGTGTCTCCGCTCCTATATCCCCGTAAAACGTTTCTGGAAGTTCCAACTCCTGCTCAACGTCTCCTTCTGTTTGTCTGATAGTATCATCCGCTGAGCGATCCTCGTCTTGTTCTGGCGTCTCAGCTGTGTTCTCAATTGAGCCTCGTACATTGGTGAGATCTTCATAGCCAGGAATAATCCCCGGTGGGGTATCTGCCACAACCTGCGATTCCTCATCTTCTTCGTCCTCCGCATCCGAATCCAGAATTTCGAATTTCATTTTCCTGGGGGCGGGGGTCCCCAACCGGCGGATAGGCGATGGCGAGAAGTCACGCGAAGTGGCATGCTCCTCTTTTAAGGGAGTATCCTCTGCAAGAGATTCCTGACTAGAATCTGGTATGGCAAAGCGTACCGTTTTGGCCGGACTCGAATGCTTCGAGGGGGTTAGAAGAACTTGACTTTCATCTGTCCCGGTCTCATAAGTATCCTCAATCTTCAATTTTGGTATCCTTTCGGCACTGGTGAATGTACTTGATCGTAGGGAAAAGGGGACTATAACATTTGTAGATTGCTCCTTGAGTGGCGACCTTTTCCGTGCGGAACCTCTAAATTGACTTGACATTGGTGTAGCCGGTGATTGTGATGATGGAATCTCAAGAATCTTTCTATGTCTTGGTGTTTGTGGTGGAGGCATTAATTGAGCTGGATCAGAAGTAGCAGGGTTGGAAAACTTTCGCGGACTTCGTCGAAGTGGTTGAAATGCTGGAGAGCTGGATACTGGGATATCATAGATTGATGGATCGTCTTCTGGCTCTTCTGGTTTTCGTGCTCCGGAAAGTGGCCAATAATCAAGTTGGGTAATTGTCTGCGTCGAGAAACTAGGTGTCCTTCCTTCCTCTCCTAGAGTCTTCCGTCTGTTCTTTGACACTTTTTTCTTCTTTGCCTTCGTTTCATCGCCCATAGTCCTCCGTCGTTTCGTTCTCCGTTTTGAATCTTCTTCAACATAATCTCCTTCACTATCCTCAATGTCATCTTCCATCTGCTTTTCCAGTTCTTCTCTTTCATGCAATTTTACCCAATCCATCTGCGTAAGTGTGTCCTGATCCTCGAGTTTGAGCTTAGATTTCTTGCCATAGTTCCTAGTTATACGCTTTTTCTTTTCTGGAAATGTGGTTTGACGCAATGGTTCGACTGCTTTGTATGTTCGATTTGCAGGCGCACTACCTTTTGGTCTGGGCTTCTGCTTTGGAGGCATATTTCTTCAGGGTGGTAATCGTCGTTGTCTGGATTGTGAGATTGTGATGTATTATATTATATTGCATAGCTAGGCCATGGTTGCCTCAACGCGTCACCTCGCGCTCGCGTTCCTCATCTCTTATCTGTTATCGGACGCGACATTTTTCACGTGACCATTGAGTAATTGCAAAAAACTTGGCTGACTAAGCACGCCTTTATGAGCGTCCATTGATGTTATTACTCTTCAGTTTCCCCACGTCAAGATCATTAATTATTGAGCCTCATCGTTCTCGTTACAATATCATATTGACAAGATGGCGACAAGATTGATCGAAAGATTTATACCCGTGATATGTCGGACGTATGTAAGGTAAACCTATTAAACGCGAGCTTGGGAATGACTAGGACTCATCCAATACCGATTTGTTCGGGTAATCGTCAACAGTGACGTTCAGTGACATTCAGAGATTATGGTGGCTCTCATGTGGTGCAGCTGCCAGCGCATATAAGGTTACATTCGCAACGACATGGTATGCAGAAGTTGTCGTGGACCTTGATCTTTCCCATAGTGCAACGGAGACGTCTCACTGACTACAATGTATCACCAATCGAGACCCATTGCTATCGATGTCACTTCGTCGTAGCGATCATCAGAATTTATCCGAGCGAGGAAATAGTTCTAGACATCCTTTCCTTTTCTTCTACAGATTGAAATGCGTGTTCGGCTACAGTATTTGACGAATTACCTTTCTCAAGTGCGGAAGGTCAGCTTCCTTGTTTCTTTCCTGCGAGTATCATATTATCCAAGAGGCTTTTGCTGTCTTAAGAACGGAGTCTTGTACCAATTAGTTCTTTCCGATTCTCGCTTGTGTGATACTATGGTTGGCGATCTCACGAACCCTTGATATGATATATCATTCCCCATCGGTCACCCCGCTTTGACCACAACCCCCAAGACTACTCTACATTCATCACTCTATCTTTACGCCTTGTGCATTCTTTCATGATATGCATCTACGCCTGGATGATCACCTTTGTCACAGTTTGACACGCATGACCTGCTTCTCCTAGGCCAATGCTAGATAATATGAGGGTGCACCGGGCCTAGGCATTTGCGTCACTGACATTTTTATCTAGATGAGATGTGCGATAATCGTAACACTTCTCCCTTTACCAGTCCATATATTCTTGTCCCCTCAGTAGCCGAGATATATGACTCATCTAAGAACGTGCTACGACTCAATCGTCGGCTCTATATTTCTTCTGCATGCTGAAGCAGAATCCGCAATATGCTTTCCCGATACATCTGCCCTGGCATTCCATGAGCTCATACACAGGGCTGTATCATTCGAACAAAGGTTATATGAGCAGTAGGTGTCGGCGTTTGTATTACCTGTGCTGGTTCGAATGAGACATGCAACAAAACCCAAATCTTCCCAAGAAATCTGCACATCATGACTCTCATCTCGATTGATGCTGCATGACACGCTTGTCTGTACCAATCCTAGATGTGTATTTATGGACCTCATGCTCAACAAACCCGTGTTACATGTGTTGTTTCGACTGAGATGTGCAACAAAACATGCAGCAAACGACGATATCCCCCTGGCTGGCCAAGGGCTAGTGATGGGGGCATGCAGTGAGACGCATACATACTTCCAGGATAATAATAGTGGATCTCAGTACCGCATGCTATGTTCGAAAGTTGTGTTGCTTGCAGTCAATTCTTAAGAATGTTCATCAGAAGATAATTTTTTATATACCAGGCCCAAGAGGCGCTAAGGTCTGCGTACCTCGGCTGTTTCCCGAACCAATGCTAGCTGTATACGGTGAGCACACGGTGTATTGTATCACCTGTGGTTCTGGAACTCAGATGTGCAACAAAACATGCTAAGATATTACACAACTCGGGGCATAGAGGATGGCGTGCGGTCAGTATGTAGCACTGGTGGTGCAAAGAGACACTAGGCTGTTAGTATACGTGTCACTGAGATGATCCGAATTTCAGAGACCTGTCCTGTGCCACATCTGGTAGACTGAGAAGTGCAACAAAAAACGAGTCACCTTTTCATCTCGTGGCTGCATCAGTCCTACCAGTGCTGGTAGGACCAAGACATGCAACAAGAGAGGAATTCTACTTACCCGAGTCCATGGATATGGGAAGGATGATTTTCGACACATGTGGCTGTGTGCAAAGGCAATTATGATCCTTATTGATCAAATTAGGGTATGGTATATCCAAAATGCTACGTTCATGCTGGCCAGATTGTCAGTATCTTTGCATCTAGTGATCAGAGCACTTCTGTTCCCATTATCATAAATTTATATGTCACCATAGGACTGCAGTCTCACAAACTTTCATCGTAGAGCTTAAACATTGAATTTCTTGTTTCTCATTACTACTATGCACGCTCAAACACCATACAGGTAGTTTAATCTATAAATTAAGATCCTGCAAATCCACTCCCAAAAGCCTATTGATCCTTAGCTTCACGCCGTTAACCATTCCTTTCCATTTCAAATGACAATCAACCCAATCACTTGCTGGTATCAACCACATATCGTCCAGCAATCTTGCCCTCGTGCATCAAGTCATAGACTTTCTGCAACTCGCTCAAACCGCATGTCTTATATGGAGCCTTAATAAGACCACGTCTGAAGAACTCAATAGCCTCAGCAGAATCTTGTCGGTTGCCAACGTACGATCCCTTAATAGTAATCATTTTGACAACTGACTCGAAAACAGGCGCACGAAGATAAGCACCAGCTGGGAGACCGATAGCAACGACAGTACCGCGAGGTCGAACATACTCCGCAGCTTGCTGGAATGGCTTCTCATTGACCGCAACCAAAATAACAGCATGAGGTCCCAATCCATCGCGTGTGCAAGCCTTTACATCATTGACCAGATTGCTACTTGACATAAAGTCAACATAATGCTGCGCTCCCAACTCTTGTGTCATCTTTTTCTTCTCGTTACCTCCGTCAATTGCAATGATATCTAATCCCATAGCTCTAGCATACTGACAAGCAAGGGAGCCTAAGCCGCCTCCAGCACCAACTATCGCTACGGTTTGACCTGGGCGAACTCCGGATTCTTTAAGGCCTTTGTAAACGGTTATACCAGCGCAAAGAACGGGAGCGATAGCTTCGAGATCGCATTCTTTTGGAATACGCGCGACGTGTGCGGCCTTTGCGATGCAGTATTGTTGAAACGTTCCATCGACTGTGTATCCTGAGAGAAGCGCTTTGGCGCAGAGGGGTTCGTCGGATTGGTGACAGAAATCACAGGCGAGGCAACTTCCATTTAACCACTACACTTCAATTAACACTTGCCTTCCAATTTCCCAGTTTTTCCATGGGAACGGAAGGATAGAGACAACTTACCTTGACACCAGCATAATCACCAACCTTCACATCTTCAACAAGACTACCAACGGCAACGACAACACCAGCTCCCTCATGTCCTCCTACAAGTGGAAGCTTCGTGTCTATTGGCCAGTCACCATTTACAGCGTGTAAATCAGTGTGACATACACCCGAGAATTTGATGTTTACGAGGACTTCATCAGGACCGGGCTTTTGGACGGGGATTTTCTTGTAGACGACGGCTAGAGTTTTAGGTTAGTTTTGAGGTCAAAAATGAGAAACGCGGAGGAGGGGGATGAGATAGCAATCAGGAAGGAAGGGATAACATACGTTTGCCAGTTTCTTCAACTACTTGTGCCCATTGTTCCTTGGGAAGATTCTCCATGTTGATATTTGGGATGATGTAGATGTTTTTACTGAGATTGTTGAGATTGTTCTGGGGAAAATATGTAGGTACAATTGTTGATTAATATATTAATCGTATGTTAATAATTGAATACTAAATAAAGAATACGTTTTAGACACTTGGGAATCAATGAATATATAGAAATCCAAACGATCATACGATGGTAGTTATCCAAGCTCTAGCCCCTCCAACAAAGGTAACCCCACCTGGGCACTCCTATGAAGGTGTAATGTCTCAAATACAGTCGCGCATTTAAAAGCCTGCGCCTCTTTGTTCGTTTAGCTGATGCTATTGGATCATTCTCAAATTGAGTTTACAGCTCGGATTCATGGAAGGCACTAACCAGAGTACCTATGTGTAATTCACCTGCGAAGTGGGTAGATCATCGAGGTACCTCTTATTGTTGGACACGGCGACACCCTAGAGGCCGGGATTCACGGCGGCGGACGTGTGGAAAGACACCGGTGAGGAGCTAATAAGGACTATCGTTATCCACATGACAGACGCATTGTGCATTGGCAGCCATTGCTCCTCTTCCCGCTGGAGAGGGGAAATATACAAGAATTTGCTCGGAAGGTTCAGAAATGGCGTGGTTTCGCCGTTCAATTTACTTTGTGGATAAGCCACTATGTCATTTATCATAGAAACCCTTGCCAAACGTCTTGTACAAGAGCTACCAATACCACGATTTTGGAATATGCTATGGAAGCTTTCCGTTCTCGGTCAGAACAAGGTTTGTGGTCGTCTCCGCATGAATGCGGGGAAAGATGTTTTGACAATCCACCACGTATTCTCTACAACAATATGCATAACTAGTTTCCCCAATTTTTTTCAAGTTGGACCCCCTACTTTCTGGCCACCCCTCTTTTAGGCCACTCATTTACACTAAAAATCGCTTTTTTAGCTTATTAATAACCTTTTTATTTATGAATATAATTTATTAAAAGTTTATGTTTATATAATTCAGATCATTTTAAGCTTACTCTGAGAATTTCAGATTTTTAGGATTTTCTGAGTGGAAATCTAAAGCTTCAAAATATCGATTTTTTAATTTGTATAGGAATTACATACAAATTTTACTTTTTTAAAAAAATCTTTAATAACTTTTCAATCAAAATGACTAAAAATAAACTAAAAGTTTTTATTATTTATAATATAGGAGATTTAAAAGAATTAGAAAAAATTTAATTAATAAGTATTTATAGGAATACTTTCGAAATTATAGGGATTCTTTTCCTTACTTAAATTATATCTCTATTACTATTTATTTTTCTTTATTTTTCTTTATTTTTTATATAGATTCAAGCTCAGAATTTTTAAAAAAAGTAATTAGTGTCTTTTCATCAAGTATAATTAAAAAGTTCTTAAAGATTTAAAACCAATTTCAAATTTATATATAATTCTTTTACAAATTAAAAGATCGATATTTTAAAGTTTCAAATCTTTACTCAAAAAAATCCTAAAAATCTAAAACTCTCAATATAAGTTTAAAATGATTTGAATTATATATATATATATATATATTTTCGATAAATTATATTATAATTTGATATATATATTAATAAGCTGAATAAGTACTTTTTAGTATAAAACAGTGACTCGAAACAGGAGTGGCCAGAAAGTTGAGTACCCGACTTACTTTACATTCAGATTTCAGATTATAATAATGATTGTTCAATTTTTAATCCAATTTAAGGTAATATTTTATATAAGAGATAAAAGCATGCATATAGTAAAGTCGTACATGTAGTTGGGATATCGGATATCGGCTAAAAATAAAAGTTGGGGAAATTAGTTATGCATATCGTTGTAGCTTCCAGCTCCGCGTGTCACATCAATCAGGATGCGGGGATATGGTCACGAGTGAATGAATATCTCTAGCCCTACAAACCTAATTGTCTAGTAAACTTTACCTTTGATCCGAGAGCTACATGGTACCTTCGGTCTCCGGCAACAAGATCATTAGTGATCAGGCCGGTCGCGATAACAATCATGCTGCTATATTTTGCCTCCCGAAAGTCTCCTACTTCAACTACTGCGTATATGGGTGATTATTAGATGTGATGCGACGTTTTTTAAGTGAGCTGTTTGAAGGTGGTCTGATTTCTCGGTATTGTTTTAGGGGCTTGAGACGGTTGAAAGACGGCCCAATCTATGCTTGGTGGTTGGGCGAAGGAATGCACGATTAGTGTCCAGGACGCTGTTGGACTACCTTAGAAGTGGGGGTTTGGGGGGCTTGGGGGGCTTGGGGGGGGTTCCCACCTCTCGCAATGAAAATTGTATATCGTCATGTACCAACAATTTATTAATTGAAATAATCAACTATTCGAGCGGTTTTTTTTACATATAGCGAAGAATGCTAATCCCACACAATTTATCAACGAGGCGATACAGTGAGGTTAAATGCTAAAAGCTCGCGAAACACAATGTGGTCAAGGGGCCAGAGTGAGATGTACTCACTACCTACTTGTAGGACTAGAGGAACATCTCGTTGCAATTCATTCACAGCAACGATTTGTCCACTTTGAAATACGGCTAATTGGCGAAAAGGGATCCAAATAGATGCTTCCAATGAAAGGCAAACCCGTAATCTGTTATTTCCAAAATACAGATGCCATTCGGAGAAAAAAAATGATCGAAGTGCAGATGTACTCCCTTGGGAGCAGTCTCATACACGGTAACTATTCAAAAACGAAAGAGCCATTCAAAAATAGTTATAAATTTATACGATCTGCGTATGGGAAAACAAAATGGTTTTGCATGATAAACAACGCCAATGAGTGGCCAAACTGTCGGAGAGTTTCATTAACCTCAAGTGTGTGTTCTTGCAACGACAATTCGATTCAATCTTTTGTGACGCCGTCATGGGTTTCCCATTAATCAGCACTTTAAGAAGTGCCTTATTGATCGCTCGAGTGCTAAGGGATCGTTCACTATTCCAAGCTGTTGAATAAGTGTTTCCGGTGTCTCCTGCTTTCAGCGATGCAACATGTGGCGTGAGGTGCGATGACTGAGATTTTCAGAGCTCCCATTTTAACTTAACGAAATATTGATTTTATTCATTTCTAATCACCTGGATTTCAGCCTGGTAGAGAGTTCTATGTGATGATATTGATTTCACCTCGACCTTTCCCTGTTCGACTCACAGATTTCGTTCGTTACCTTTAATCAAACGCAATCTTACCGTAGAACAAGTGTGATATAACGAGATTTGAAGTTTTTTACAATTCCTGAAACCCATTATTAACGGTGGTATGCGGTGAAATGGGTGTAATAGATCAAAGCTAAAGTTGAGTGCCACTGATTATGCTAATTGGCGGAGTGCATCGAAATTCACACTTGATGGGAATGGCGAAAATGATATTGAGGACTCTTTGCATCAAGAAAGAAACTATGCTAAAACAAAAGCTTTGAGATTATCCAACGCCATAATGTTGAGAGCGGACTCGCTGTATGCCAATCTCTGTTGCGGTATGACTCAATCACCACATTCAAATCGTAAGTTCACTACTCCTGTTTTTCGTAATCATGGGTAAATATCCTCAAGTTGCTACCAATGTCAAATGACTCTGGTGAAGTCACAAACCCACTCAGGCTTGTGTAGTATGTCTCGAAGAACTTCAGATCATCCTCACGTCGCTGTCTTCTTTTGGTAATATAATTCTCTATGGATGGATGCAATGTCCTATCTGATGTAAAGCGATGGGCCAAGGAACTTTTGGAAGGACAGGACAGCAAGTTTTCCGTGGTTCTAGATTCAACCTAAGTTTCCCATCTTGTACAGGGATCCACTGCAGAGATGTTCTGGGTCTCGACTTTTCCGGGTTCATAACTCTATGTTTATGGAAGCTTCCATGTTGCGAAGATATTCTGGCCAAATATCAAAACCATAACTGTGTAGGGCTGGACGCATAAGTTCAACTAGCTTAGTTGTTTTCCATCGAGTCGCAGAGTCCTGTAGAGCTTCCTCGCATGCACAATTGGGCAATCAAGACAAATGGTAGTGAGGTTCTCACAGGGACAGTCACTCAACGAATGATATTCTGCAAAAAAAGACAATCGATATGCGAGGGACACAGTATTCTTGCAGGGTCGGCCTCACAAGCAGCACGTTTCTGGAACTTGAAGCCTTTTGTATGTTTCTTGCCGGAAAAAATGAGAGACTTCGCAATTGGCTGATAGCGGCTCTTTTCTCCAAGTGGAGACTCACATTTATGCAGATGCTCCAAGAAGTATCGTAGAGGTATCTGAGACATTTTATTGTTGGCAAGGCAAATCTTTTAAAGCGTATTAAAGGTCCAGAACTAGGAAATGGAGAGCAACAGTGAGTGCTTCGTCTTCTAACTAATAGTGGTAAGTGTAGAACTATACTCCTTAAAATGAACGGAGACCCACATCTCTTGATTTCCCATGAATAGCTAGCCCTATTACCCATGGCTTTGGTTATCATTGAGGTTTCACTGGATTCTTCCAGGGCATCTTAGGAAAGTGATGTATCTGGGTTCAATATTTACCTGGTTAAAGAGCTCAAGATAAAATAAAATCACCATATTCGAGACTTGAGAGCCTGTGAGTGTACAATAAAGACACATCAGCAACTTGGTATGGTTTAATAAAAGGAAACAAACACACACATACAGATGGCTCACAGGATTGGGTGTCAAAAATAGTCTAATTTATTCCAGATTCGTTTGTATCAGTGAAAGATCAATGTTTGACGAAGTGAAGACAAGAGGTCTAGCAAACTTGAATCTTCACTTAATACCAATATAGCACACAGCCGGACCAGTTCGGCCCGACTCTCATTGGCCATAAACAGTTACAAAAACTTTCCATGGGCAGAATAGCCGAGTCTTCCTCTGCCCTCTTGGATTTTTGATACACAAATCTTAATATTTTCTTTGGAGATAACTTCTCGAAACTTCCACTTGCCTTTTTTTTTTACCACAATTTAAACCCTTCAACTTCAACTTCTTTTGTTGCATCCTACCAACTCCCATTTATTCTTCAAGATGTTGATTGTTCTAGTAAGTTTATAACCTCTTACTATCTCTTCAAAGATCTCTAGGAATGTCCCATCGACTTCTATAAATTGAAAGTCTTACAAGCTGCATATCAAAAATCGACCATTCACAGTGGTGCACGATGGTATGGATCAAAGAGAACTATTCTATGAATAACAACCTTCTCAAGTGTCTACACTCTGGATTACTGTTGTTTTCTTCTCTTTGGTCCATCAATTTTCACCGAGATTGCAGATAAAATGGACCTGAGCAGTGCCGATTATTTGATTTCTCATATCGATCTGGGACAATTCCTTTCAGGAAGACTTGTGATCAAAGATCAAATCCTTATGCAACAGACAGTTGAGGGTACAATGATGCTAACGTGTCGCAACGCAGGACAACTATATCAACGCAAATAAAAATCCAAGCCTACTTCGATTACACGAAGACTTTGATTTCTCGTGAGGTGCCGAGCGAGTCAAAAAGATAACATAGTTAGTTATCCCAGGTGCGTTGCTGAAGGCTGTAGGGGTGTCGTCCCCTCACCTTCGCACCACCTTCAACAAGGGCTGCGGCCGTCGAGCATCGTACATCAGCACCATCAACAAGCTTTTCTGAGGTATGCATCGCTTCTCTCAAACTAAGTGTTCGTGATAGCTGACATGATCTACGAGAACAGTGACCAGCTCAAGGGCCGAGAACTTGGCCCATCTATTGATTGGAGCTCGCTGAACCAAGTCATTGAGCCCGCGCGGTGTTTGGATCGACAAGTCCGGCGGCAGAGTATAGGCCGCAGCAAAGCGTGCGAGAAACCATGAAACTATATGTCCGCTTATCTTCCCATTACTCAATCTACCTACCGACATGGTACTTCTGTAACAAGCTGGCTCTGAGTTATGGGCAATACTCTGAAGCGCTGTACTTTCCTGGGGATAATTGTCATTAACACGGAGAAATGCAGACATTTCTTGATATAAACCGAGATCCGCCACTGTCTGTCGTTGACACCCGAGCTCAGCAACATGCCTTGATATCAACCATACTAAGAAGAAGAGAAAGCCAAGAAAAAAAAGCTCTACCAAGAGTTGAAAACTTTCTATCGGATATCCAGTTTGACATCTGTTCACATGCGATATCTGATAGTATATTTTCAATTTTTGGTAGAGCTTTCTTTCTTGGCTTTCTCTTCTTCTTAGTATGGTTGAGATCAAATCAATTCTTGCCGTTAGTTTGTATACGAATGCTGCTAGGGGCGCCAGTTGAGGTTCTTGTCAAGGTAGCAATCCCAAGAGTGAGTCTTCTAATCAACTATAGATATCAAATCTGACTGAGCAGTAAAGTATGCTCGGATGACCAATTTATACAAGAGGGATTCTGTGGGAAAGCTTCTGTCGGCAGATCCACCCAGCTCAGCGGAGACTCCTGCCAAGGTAGCAAAGCCAAGAGCATGCTTGGCTTGTGATAGATATGGTACATAAATTCCGATTTTCATAAGACTTGTTTATTTTGGTAAAGCATATCGATGTTGGTGGCAATTAATCTGGCCAAGCTGGCTTGCGTTCGTCGGAATACTCCACTACATGTAAGTTTGGTCAAGACTATCAGACTAAATCAAACAATGAGCTTATACTAACGACTTTTAGTATCTATCCATCCAAGACTTGTCCAGAAGGAAAATTTGAATGCCTTTTAGAAAGGTGACGAAGCCCAGAGCCAAGAAGGTCGAGGCTGCTAGGATTGATCCAGAAGTCGCTAACAATGATGGTGAGGATGCTGACGCTGATAAGGAGTCAGTCCATAGGGGTGCCTACTCCCTCAATGCTAGCAAGTGGAGGACCGTCGCAAGCCAGAACATCGTCTACTTCAGCTTGTACTCACCTCCAAATTCGAGGGTACATGCTTGGATGCCGAAAACTTCGACTCTTACAATTAGATTTTATAATAGAGCATAGAACAATGACAGTAATCAGCTACTGCGTATGTGCCTCTTGATATGTGTCTGTGAGTACTCTAGATCTTCAGATACTAGATTCAAAGAATGTTTGATCAATGTGCATTTCACAATTCCTCTTCAAATTCCCACCGCCAAACACAAGACCTCTAAAGCTATGCGTGTATTCTCATATACTAATGAGAAAGTCGCATATCTCACTAAGAAAAGGAACACCGGGGGTTTCAGATATATCAGTTCTATGTGAGAAGTATCTAGAGTATCTAGTTTTGCAGCTTCAAGTCTTGGTTGCTCTTTCCAAACCAGAAGCGTCAGCGGGTTAGAGAAAGAGAACTCTAGGGCAACAAAACCGGATCAAGAAAAAGAAAATCAATTCTCTGCAATAGCAACAGAAAAATTGGTCCAAAACTTTGAGCCTGCTAGTGTCTAAAAGACAAGATAGTTGTATCTTTTTATAATAACCCATTTTGTCCGTCGTTCTTTTGGGTGGATATGTGATTACATAAGCATTGGTCGCACAAGCAACACTTCAAGACACATTCACTTCTAGTAATATAAATACGACTAGGATATTTGGGAAATCAACAACAATGCTACCGACAAATAATTCTTCCTCAAGTAGGGCCCCTAATCAATATTGGATGGTTGGAGAAGATTTGGGGCAGCGCCACTATCATCAAACCCAACCACAAATGCATGGGCAAAATCCTCAACAGCGAAATTTCCAGCAGCAGCAGCCATTCGAGCAGAACCGACAACACGTGCAAGCGTATCAAAATCAAGTACCACCGCCACCTCCTTATTTTCAAAATTACCCCTATAATCAAACTCAAGTCCCATATCACATGGGCAATGATAGCAGAACCTCTGCGCCACAACATCCAGGGTATCATCAAAATCAGAGCCCATCAGAATATCGGCCATTCACTCCAGGACCACCAAATATGGACCATTCAACTCGAATGAATTCTGAACAGCTAGCAGGAAACTTACCGTCGCATGCTGTTGCTGGAAATTTGGCCCAGGTGGTGATCAGATCCCCAACCGCACCTCGGCGGGGACGTCCACCAAAGAATCTTTCCGACCCTTCATATCAAAAATCTCAAAAGCCAACGATACCGAAAAGACGAGGCAGACCACCTAAGGATCGCACGGCAATATTTGGCAGTAATGACTCAGACTCTTTCACGGCAAAAGATCAAAAGCCCAAATCCCTTAAAAGTCAAAATCCCCAGTCAGATGACAATCCACCAAAGAAACGAGGTCGTCCACCAAAGCAGCCTTCCCCTGAAGTAGATCTTGAACTCCCGAATCCAAACTTTCTTGTTTATGACTGTGGGTGGGATAAGTGTCCTGCTAAATTGCACAACTTGGCTACGTTGAAAATGCACCTCCTTAAAGTTCATGGTAAGAGGGAGAACGAGAAGTTTCGATGCTTATGGAAAGGTTGCACCGCTGCTACAAAGCATACTGAAAGTGGATATCCTTTGGCATCAGAATCAGCAATAAGGAAACCACGGGAGTTCGAAGACGAAGATAAGTGGAAAAGGCATGTTGAGAAAAAGCACATAATCCGCTATGCTTGGCATATGGGTGACGGGCCTATGAATTCATTAGGTAAGATGCATTTCGTAATTTTTATGCAACACAAGATGACTAGCTCGGAATCCATCTAAGATTATGAACGTCAATCCTAATAACTTCCCACTAGATGGCCTCCCGGGACCCAAATCTCCAACAGCCCCGTCATATCTGTTTGATAAAAATGGCAATCAAGTCACTCCTTCAGTTGACGACCAACAGATTGAGGATGGAGACCCCAAGCTGAATAGCAAAAAGAGGTTCAAGCGAGTTATCAGCGGTCTTGATTTTGTCTTGAAGCCAGTTTATACCTCGAATTTCACGTCACCAACTAAAGCTGGGGAAGGTGAGGTCCATGATGAGAACGACGAAGTGCATAGTGAAAAGGAGGATGAAAAAGCTGAAGAAGATGGAGATGAGACTGATATGGAGGACATTGGACCAAACTTTTAGATATTTTGACGGGGAAGGGGAAACTCGAAATGAGCGCTCCTCGGTGATTGTCGGTTCAGGTAATTGCATTTATTGATTTTTATGATGACATAAATCATCTGAAACGATCGGGTTTGTTTGGTCGTTAATCATTATGGATTATTCTGGGGTGTAGATACTTATTTCACAGCGATCGAGTCACTTGCCCTGGGTATTGTGGACAATTAGCAAAATTCTTCTGATTTTCACATTCATGTTGACTCTGTTCCAGAACGACCGATTCAATACAGCTGTTGTAGACGCAGAGGGCCATTCATTTTCTCTACGAATACATATATGTTATATCTGCCACGAGACGGGAAGCGCTTAAGCTGAGTGTTTTTGTGGACCGAAGAAGCGGAATATATATGTATGGAAGGCGAAATCTGCTCAAATTGTATCAAATACTCTGACAACATCATTGATTTGGTTCTTAGTAGAAATTCTAGCCTTTGATGCTCAGTTGTGTCAATGGAGTGTGCGGACATTAGATCTTTGTCATAACTTTTTCAACACGATAAATGGAAATGAGGCGTACCAAACGAAATGTTAATCGTCTAATTGCCAAGAAACTTATTGGGACATTGAAAATTGTCACAAGCACTTAGTTGTACCTCAGGTTTGAAATGTGGTCTATTCCGACACGTAAAGTTAATCTCGACGAACTTCAATTTTCGAATCAATTATAGTATCTAAAAATTTCACGACGTCGAGGTACCTGCGTTCGACATGCGAGCTATCTGTCCATCTCATAGCCCGTCTCTTGTCTATTTCAAAATTTGATACCCCTCTACACCCCTCCAGTTGAGTTAACAATAGCCAGTACGTCACTTCATCAACACAGCTCACAACGCTCTACTGATAATTCCATTCCACTCAGGTTACCTATCTGGCCATTTTTTCTTTGTTCTTTGGCTTCGAATTTTTTCAAAGAAAGAGCTGGAAAATGTGATCCGGAAGGAGCACATAGAGTAAAATCCTTTGTCTTGCCTTTGTCGTTTCCTTTCTTCCAATCTAGTTACTTAGCGCATTCTCAATCTTAATGCACTTATATCAAGTGAAGTACCTTCTGCCTACTTGAAAATTCAACAATAGAACTGCTTCAACTCTCAAATGGCCTGAATAATATTGATCAAATTGCACCAATTGATCCAGCCTAATAACTCAGTTCTACGACACTGAAGTTTGCAAAATTGTCCGACCAAGCGACACACCCACGAAGAAACATATCATCTCAGAAATCCGCAAAGACATTTGAGCAAACACTGAACTTGCCAAGCAGATCATTAAGCATGGCAACTCAAGAATCAGTGTCTGCAGCTGATCGCAATTTTCTTGAGTCCTCGTCCCGGAAAGCCTACTCCGCCAAGGCTTCACTGAGAAAATCAGTATCCGCCCCGACCTCACCCCAAAAGAAAATTTCTGAGGAAAATAAGCGGAAGCCCTTTGATTTCCCGCGTTCTCGAAGTTCTTCAAGTTCTTGGTTCGAGGAGTTCTGGGCTTCGGAGACTGGGGCTTTGGTTCAGGAGTTTTGGATCAGGGCCCAACAATGGCATCAAGCACATGAGCATGCCATCGGTCAGGTAATTATTGCGTACGTTATCTTGTTCATCTTGATAACAACTTCAAACCAAGCAACTTCGAGAGAAAATTTTGAACTCCTGTCCAATACGATAGGTGTCGCTGGCGCATTCTCAGAATCGATTGATAATGGATATTTGTTCGAAGCTATCCCCATTGAACTTCGAAATGCGGGTGCTGAATTAAGAGAATATCATGATTCACATGCGGATTCAAGTCGTAATTCGAGACATCATACGCGAGCGGTTGCCAACTTGCTATCTGAATTGGATAGGATAGATTATCATTGGAAGTCATTTGAGAATAGTAGGGACAAAGCGGTGACGAGTGTCAAGGAAGAGCTGCAAGCTTCGCGTGCGATCTTTCAGGCGGAATTTGACAGATTGGGAGGACCGAATAGACAGTGGTGGACAGGACTGGCGAAACAATCGGTGAAGAGGATATCGTTGCGCGATCCGTGGGAATCAAAAGTGCATGTCACAGAAAGCAATTGGATGAATGGTACGATTGAAATTGAAAACTACATCGACGTCTGGCGAAACAAAAGAATCCCGGAGCTGAGATATAAATTTACCTCCTTGCGGGGTGGTAAGACCGGTGGCTTGCCAGGATTAGTCAAAGAAGTGCAGGATAGTTGGCCGGTGAAGAATTCGGGACCTAAAAAATTTAAGATCGCACCAGTATATGAACTAGAAGAGGCAGGAAAGAAGGCGATCAGTCTCTTGGCGCATGCGGATGGAGTCTATAAGTCATTTTGGCATGCGCTTCAAACTTTGAAAAGGGGCGGTACGAAGAAGAAGTGTGCATTTGGGAGAGGACGTCTGGAGTTAATATTAAGGAAATATGATGAATCGATCAAGAAATTGGAGGCGGCGGAATGGGCAATCAGGGAGAGGCTAGGTAGTAAGTATTATTAGGGATGAGCTCGCTGCCGGATGGTCTGTTGGCTGGGTGGATGGGAGGTGGTTTTTTGGTTTGCGACAGGAATTTCATTTGCGGGGAACGAAGGGATATTATTGATCAGAAAAATGGCGTACTGGATATGTGGATTGAGATATAATAATTGCAGTTGTCCTTTCTTCGTATTGATTGGGAGAAGAAGTTACAGTTGAATTCCCTTATCTAGGTATGGACAGAATTACGTGCAGAGCAATGTTTCCAGCGGTGACAATGATGTAAAATCAAAAGCATCGCTAGATCAACATTGATGGGGTTCAACGTCATGTCCCGAAAACGATGATCTTTGCTTCTATCAGCAACATGATTAGTACCCTATCGCGAAATGAAATGAACCGATCTGACCCGTGATTTGATTTTCAACAGCGAATCTCTCAACTAATTATGTACATCCCATCAATTCCCACAGACTCCATGATCCCTTTTAATGATGGAAATGATAAATGTATGCCTATGCGCCTGCCCCCATTTCCAAGCATTAAATGCCATGTCGTTAGTAGCCCCATCATGAGATAGAAGAGCTAGTATTAAAAATTGTTGACCTTTCAATGAAACTGTTTCATATACCCATAAATTGAGTCGAATATCTCATATTGCATGTATGCATGGTGGGACATCGTATGCGCGATATTTGTAGATATGTACCCCCTCCTCCCCCCTCCTCCCCCCTCTGACTGATAAGATTCCATGTCCCAAGCTCAAGATTTACTTGAACGGAAAATCCGTGTAAATAAACGGGACCATGACCTAGACCTAGGTTCAAAACGAGCGAGGAGCCTACGTTTTCTGAGATCACAAGAATGTCTGTTCCATAATCTCAATCCCTTTCCACAGTTGTAGCAAAAATGAGCTCCACAGAGGCACCTATGCAGTATTAATGATTAGTTGCAATACACAAAGCCAGGAATACGGACATACGTCATGAAATGACAGCCATCAATTATGTCTACCAAGGCCCAGCACTTGTAACATCTTTGCCAATAGTTATCTCTCGCAAGATCAAGGACCTCTTCTATTGACGCATCCTTCAGACATTCCCCAGAGTGTGCCTTCGACTTACACAAAGTATGTGTTTTCACATTGCACTTGGGACATGTACCTATCTCCTTGACGATATTTGAGGGAGGAATAACAGTTGAACAACGCTTGGACGAGCAATAGACCTTGTATCGCGTTTTGAACTCGAACTTCTTTTCTTCGAATCTTTGCACAACACTGGGTTTGAGAAAGGAGCTGACACTGACAATAGGAATTGCTATACTGCAGCACCGTGGAGGGAAAACCGATTGATCTGTTAATGCCAATTTGAAGAATCGTTCGAGACAAGTGAGACAATAGTGGTGACTGCATGGGACTTGAATGGCATTGCTGGTGACATCTTCACAGCTCGTGCAGATTTCCTGAAGAGCCGATGAAGTTTTCGCCATGATTTTAGTGATCAATTGTGCCCTGTGGACTAGTCCCTAAAATTCATGTAACTGATTGTTCAAGTAATTGGATATAGGAAAGAGTCCTATAAGAACGTTGAGGTGCTAGTCGAGAAGATGGTTGGGGCTAAGGCTGTCAAGTCTGCTGCTGAAGTGCAGATGAATTTCTCTTGGGTTTGTGTTATTGAATGTGTGTATGCAGTGGAATTCATTGAAAAGTAGAGGAGTTGAAATGAAATATAAACCTGAGCAGAATCACAACGCATCATATACTTAGTTCGTTTAGCTGGACAAAAGCGGGTCTTGCTGAGCTACTTGACAGTTGACACAAGCCAAATCAGTTAAACAATTGATCTGCACCAAAAGTTGACACTACAACCAAAAGACCCACCGGTCACCAAAAACGCAATGTCTCTATCGGAATTGTGAACTATATCAATGTCTACATAAGGTACATAGACGCCATTTCTGATAATCGCTGAATGTGATAACCGAAAGCTTCGGAGATGATGCAGAATTGACAGCTACTGCATGTAGACTAAATAATGACACAATTAGAAGTAAGGACTGATTTTAATCCTGTTTCTAACAATGGTTGTTCAAATTTCCAACTGGATTTCGTGAACGAGTTTGTACTTCAACCGGAAATAATTTTGAGCTTTAAGTGTGAGGCAGGTAATGGAATTGCAAAAGCTTCATTAACATCGGCAGTATCCATGGAAGCCTATGTGATCTAATGATTTTTTTCACGTACCCGGTTTAGCCTCGGAAGAAATAACCCTTCGCTCTCGATACTCTTTGCTGGGGTAGATTATCCCGATGGACTGCTTCCAAAACCCAAGTCAGGTCTCAACTTCATATGATACTACGCATAGTCTTCCAATGGGATTTTTTACGAAACAAGTATATGGTATAATGGAAACCACAATCATAAATCGGCACCATATACACTCCTTTAATGCTGCTCGACGTACTCTTGTGGTTGAACTTTATTGTTTGTTCTCCTACAGTCTTAAATGCAAGTGACATCGGCACTGCCAGTAGCCGGAACAGCGAAATATGTATCTGAAATCATTATAATAAATATTCATATTCGAGCGAGGCGGCAAGTTCTTCTCAGATTGTGATCGACAGGAACAAACTCAGTATTGAATATTCGACAAATCTCTGAAGTGTGCATTTTTTACGTCTAGTGACGAATAGTTCGGAGAGAAAATATCCAAGGAGATCAAGTTCTGACTTCTAGCGGCACAGAGCGAAGAGTATATCATTACCAGTACGAAGCTACTTGAGGAAAAAATAAATCAGGATCTGCAATAGTATGGTCTTGGGATCGGAATATTACAGCTCGATTACGCGACAACAGGTTTGTTCTAACTAAATTCAGCGCGGGGGACTAGATATAAACTTTATTCCGTAGCTATACTTAGCTTGTACAAGCTGCAGAATCTAAAACCAAAATTCAAATTCCTAGATAATTTCAAGGGAACTTTGAAGCTTTGAACTACCAAGGCCTCATCTCAGCGTCCTTCACGGGATTGATGAAGATACCTAGTAACGTCATCAATGTATCTATGTTGGTGCAAATTTGGTTTGGTGATTATTAGGAATTGAATATTCCCAAGAGAGTGCAACATGAACTTGATAATTCCCCCTTTGATGGAAGTTCCTTCGTCCCAGCCATTAGAAGACATACTTGCCAACATGATTGGAGTGCAGGCAAAGAGAGGTGTAGAGATGGAAGAATCGGAAGAAAACTTGAAGTTATATCCCCTTGTCGCACGAGCCAACACACCGCCACGAATGGAGGGGCTTGAGGGGTTGAGCTTCAGCCTCGCGTGCTTGCCCAATTGATTCAACTTTATGTTTCAAAACCCAGCGCATCCATTTGAGCCAGCAAGGACAATTATTGACACAGGTCTATATTTACTTGAGTTACTTGAGTTACTTGGCGTTAATCGTTATTTCCATTCATCAGATTCTCTCAAAATGTCCTCACAAATAGAAACCATCTCTGCCTTTGTAGAAGGAGCTCCACCAGGAGAGGTATGATCTATCCTTTGTACGAACCCAAGCTCTTTGCCAACTAACATTATTCGAAAGCTCGCAGATGTCATAGCTGGTACGAACTTTCACGAATGCCTTTCTTCTTTGCATATTGCCCATCATTAGACTAAGTCCGGGAATCCTACAGATATCAAGGCTTTGACCATCGATACACCAAATCTTGTCTCGGAACTCGGTCCTGCATTCGAGAGATATAATGAGGAACAGTTTGCTACAGTCAGACTTCCTGGAAGCAGTCAAAATGTTAGTTTCTTGATGGCAGATCAAATCAGCACCCCGTGAAGGAGGACTGACGGTTTCATAAGGTTATAATCAGTTCGTATAATTCTCTGGGGGATGGAAGATACTATGATGTCGAGAGTTCATCTAGTTTTGTTTTCGATCACACTACGCAGGTATGTATTCTATTCACTCCTTCATGTGCGAAAGTCGGACTGATAATGGGATAAAGAAAGCGAGTGCGGTGCAAAGTTATGTCCTAGAGGGCAGTCAAGCGGATCTTGTGTAAGTACCCCTTAGCAGTGCATAGTCTTTGTTCTGACACAACGTAGTAAGTCGATCCTCAAGAGCTTGGGTCCGCACGTAGCAGAGCATTTCCCGAATGCATCATACGGGGCTTTTCCCATTGAAAACGATTCTAAGATCGCAATACTTGTTGTTGCTAATAAATACAGCCCGAACAATTTTTGGTAAGTCTTCATATGCGTCATCTTTATAAATATATCGGCATCTAACATCATGTAGGAACGGTCGCTGGCGCTCGTTGTATATCTATGAAACCTTGAACTCCTCTCTCACTGGCAGCATCAAGGTCGATGTTCATTACTACGAAGATGGGAATGTTCGACTTCTTACTACCAAACCCATTTCAGCAACAGCATTATCGTCGGCTAGCAGCATTGTACGAGAAATTGCCGGCGCCGAAAAGAAATACCAGGAAGAGATCAATAAAGGATTCAATAATTTGAGCGAAGGAGCATTCAAAGGATTAAGAAGACAATTGCCCATTACCAGACAAAAGATTGAATGGGATAAGATTGCAGGTTACAGATTAGGGCAAGATATTGGTGGTGGAAGTTCTAGACGATAGATGTGAGATATGAGATGAGAGGAGATAATAAAGCAGGTGAAGTGGGGATTGACCTGATCTGATTGTTAGCAAAAGAGCATGCGATGACAAGTTGAATGGAAAGTTTTCCGGATTGTGATATAAATTTGTAGAGTGGGTTACGTTCATCTGGAGTGGAATTTGGGACCATGGTCTTTCGAGGGTCTTTTCAGCACTTTAGGTATTCATCGCCCACTCTCCTCTTCTCTTCTTTTCACAAGACTTCAAAATGAGCATTCGCGGATCGGATAGCAAGACAACCGTCCATAGATGATACTCAACTGGCAAGGGAAGAATCAAATATCAGATTTATACTCATCTACTCTATAACCTTACTCAAGAATCTCCACGGAAACTCGGAAGTTGTCCACTTCCTTTCCAAATATACTTTCCAGAATACCCCACTGCCCCAAATCTCACACATGTTAACGCTCCCTTCATGTCACTCTCTTTCTCACGTAATCACCAATCATGTTCAACTTGATCCTTCATCTACCGTAGTATCACACCGTAACGGCTCATCAAGTCGGAATCAACTCAAAGCACCCTCATTCCGCGGAGTACCTTTCAATCAGCCAATGAGCAATAAGGAAATACGTGCTGAGCAATTCTTAACCGAAAATTGATTAGCGTTGATTGGCACAGAGTCAGATCGGCCTCCGAGCTTTAAAGTTATTAGTCCACCATACCAGATATCAAATAGAGCCTGTGCTATGATTTATTGAATTAGTTGTTGTCTCATTTTTTGTGAATTGCGAACTGCCAATATTTCATCGTACTACCCTTAACTTATTCTTTTGTGCTTCGGATTTCGGAAAAGAATTATTTGTCCTTTATTGTACAAAAAGTCTACCAGGAATTCTTCGCAGACGAGGGAATTGAATCGAGAACGATTTACGAACACGACACCACCTTTCGAGGATACAGAAAAAGAAGCAATATAGAAGGATTTCATACTTTACATACAACAGACAAGATGTCAGAATCAAAGGAATACACATATGCTGAGGCAGCCGAACATAAGACTAAGAAGGATTTGTTTATGGTTATTCATGATAAGGTTTACGACACTTCGGCTTTCGTTGATGAACATCCGTAAGTTTACTATTATTTGTCTTGTTGAAAATCGTCTTCTGCAGAAGGTGGGATGAAGAGGGGCAGGAGGATTCGAATATGAGGGGATGGAGAGGGAATCGCAGTGGGATGTTATGCTTCATTGCAGATGAATTGAGATGAAGAACTGAATTGTACCGGAGACCGAATGCTATATTGTTAGGATAAGGGTTTATATCTGATTATCTCACTCTATATTCTCGATTTTAGTCCATCTTCCTCTGGCTCCGCATCTGCCTGCGGTCTCCCAGTTTTTGATTATCCCATAGTCTTTGCAGAACTCAATTCTACATTGCTTCAGGCCAGATTGCTAACTCGCATGTTTCCATAGTGGCGGAGAAGAGGTCCTCCTTGATGTTGGCGGACAAGACGCGACTGAAGCTTTCGAGGATGTTGGACACAGTGACGAGGCAAGAGAAATCCTTGATGGTTTACTTGTTGGTACTTTGAAGCGCATGGTATGGTTTCCCCCCATTTCTATCACCTTTTCCTCCCACTTTTCTCACCCCCATTTCCCCTCATTTTCCCAAATAACCCCCCAATCTCCAATTTCGAGTCCCCTCAGTCACATGAGTCCTCGGCTCGATTTATTATAGAAACTGACATCCCCCTAGCCAGGTGACCCAGCCCCAAAAGCCCAAGCAGCAACCGCCTATCCACCTTCCACCCAAGGCGAAGCCGGTATGGGCGTCGGCCTTTACGCTATCATTCTCATTGGTGGACTTGCGGCTTTCGGTGCTTACAAGTACATGTTGGCCCAACAAAGTGCCGTTCCAGTTCAAGCTTAGATACCCTTTGTAAGCTCGAAGATTGGGAGTTGGGTGCAAGGAGCATGGAGTGGATATACACCAATGTTACTTTTTGAGAAAATTAGAGCTGATGGGCGGGGATGTGTAATTTGATATGAAGAACGTGCAAGCATACAGAATCTTTGGCGTGGCGTATTCAACATATTGAAATTTGTTCTTCATTCTTCGGATGTAGAGGCAGGGTTTGCGAAGTTTCAAGACAGACCTTGTTGTTCTCTTACGTTTGATTCAGCAGGAGATTCAAAGGAATGGATAGTTCGTAATAGATCGTTTATTTTACCTTATTCTGAGGTGTTCTTCTACTTTTAAGTCTGGGTTGAGAAGGAGATTGGAGTGAGATATAAAGACTGATGTTGGTGTTTCTCTTTGACATGATATTGAATGTAGAATTTCGCACGTCATGTTGAGAACATGTGTATGCATATATACAGTGTGTCAATGCTATCATAGGCTGTGCCAGTACACTAATCTTCCCCTCTTCCATTTCAATATATCAAACCACTCAATTGTCCATTAAGCCCAGCACATGGTACATGCATATGAGAAGAGAGTCCGAACCGAAATGATATACAAAGTGTACTGTTGGATTCTGGGCTTGTATGAGCTTCAGGTATACTATGGTATATGATTGAATGCTATATTATCGCTTGTCTACTATTTGCAAGAACGTATTCCAGATCCCTGATATCTGTCTCTCGCCAAATTGTGATAAAAGATGGAATCTCCCTACAGATATCTAGTGCTCGCTGTCGCTCTACTATGGGCCGAGTGCGTATCTGCATTGGTTCTGGATTTCGCAGTTTTCTTGGCCTGGGTCGTGCTATCCGTCCATCCTCCCATGTAATGAACTTACGGATTTCTATTTCGTGATATCCGCCTCCATGGAGACCTTAAGCATACATCCCATCATCGCCATCGCTTTCTTCGTCCTCACCCCTCTTTCTTCTCTCCTCCTCCTCCTCCTTCTTCCTTTCCTCTCCATCAGCCCCGAATCCCAAGCCCTCTACGCCCCTCCTCATCCTCTCCCTCTCCCTATCCGCCTCCTTCCCCCTCTCCTCCCCGTCTCCGACCTTCTTCCTATCCAAAGGACATGTCCCATTCAATCTCAACCACGGGCCCACACACTCCAAATCAAACTTATGAGTTTCATGACATGGCAATACAACAACTAAACAATATTGATCGTCCAGAAACTTTTCACCGCAGATCGGACATGTTTCGTCTGCTTTTAGGGAGGAGCGGGGAATGCGATCGATAGTATCGAGGTAGGCTTGAGAACATCCGGAGATGGTGGTGGGCGGTGAGTCGATTTGAGATGTAATGGAGGAGATAAGAAGGTCGAGAAGAGGGGCTGTCGTGGAGGAGGGGTCATTGGTGCGGAGGGTTAGGAATTGGTCTTGGAGGAGGCGATAGGAAGCTGCTACGTCGACCTATTCATATAGATTAGCTTTCGAATTGACCGAAGGGTAGAGTATTGATTTAGGTAAGAGGGTAAGAACATACGGGAGTAGGAACAGCATGCGGATTGTTGTGATGCCAGGTTGGATCAGTAGTAGAAGTCGAAGTTTCACATTGCGATAATTGGTTGAAGAAGGAGGACATAGAGGGACGACGACGAGGCCGAGACGACTCCGCAGACGCTTTTATGTTATGTTCGACTATTGTGTGTTAACAGGAGCTCATCGTAATATCAAAGAAGCTGAAAGGCGGGGCAAAGAGGATTGGAAGCTTACCTTCATAGGGATTCATCTTGGAGTTGGGCTTCAGACTTTACCGTATAGTTTATGTTGTTTAAATTAGAAGGATTTGAAATTAAATCCAGACAATAGGATTATAACGATGAGGGCAGACAGGGAAGTAGATATGCTTAGAGGAAAGGTAGGCAGGGGACGAGACGCAAGCCTTTTCGCTTAGAGCCGAGGCTGTGATGCGATGCAAGGCTGTGGTGTGAATCTCAGTCTCAGTATCTTGAGATTCTTTTACGAGGACAAGACATTTTCGCGTTCCGATTATTTTCCAGACGACGTGGAGGCACACGTAAACGCATCAAGATTTCTGAGTATGTTAAAATCATTTTCTCTCGAGGCAATTCATCTTACGCGCTCTTGACCAACAACTGAGCAGCTCCATTTACCTAGTATGCTTCAAAGCAAGTCACGTTCGAATTTCCAGGAAACAACACGTAATGATGTCATTTGGAGCTTGACGATGAGGTTTACCTTTCGAAGCCCTCTTTGAATGAGATCTCGCACTGTTACTTCCAGTTGGATCTCATCCCGTTCGTGTTACCAGGCGGTTTTGCCCCCGTCTCATAGAAATTCACTTCCTCCCAGATTAAGCCTTGGACTGTTGGCAAGGCTGCTGAGGATGCAACTTTAAGGTTGTGGTCTCAAGGGTACAATGTTGAGCGGTACGTTGTCCGTGAAGTTCACCAATTCTCCATTATATCAACAGATTATTGTGGGAGTGATGGTAAGTAAAGCAGAACGAAGGGTCCCATCTCAAATCTTTTTGGCTTGGCAGTATTTCCATGTCATTGATCCTTTCATACCGTTTTTAAAGGGATTTCTGGGGCCTTATATCACATATCATAGAGATGGCATTCCTCTTGAATAAGAGCGAAGTCAAAGTCTCGGTCCCGCAGAGACATCCCCACATATCTATCTATATTGTGGCGAGGAAAATTTCACTCTCCACTCTCCACAAATCAACGACAAGTCTTTTCTTATCAACAAATCCAGACCACAAACGCTATGGGGGTAATCCTTCATCCGATAGTCGGATTCGCAATACCGCTTTTCGCAAAATCTTGAAAACTTGCCTAGCAAGCGTGCGATTTGATCACTCTCGGGGTTTGATACAGCTTGATCATGCAAGCAAGACGTAGAATTTGCCTCCGGGATGATTGTCACCGCCCCTTCTTTCAAGCATGTCAAATCGTTGACGCCTGTCAAACGTCAAAAAGGTTGTATCTAAACGAAAAAATGACCAGCAAGATGAAGGGGCGCTTGTGAAAAGCTTGACTCAGATCTACAACAAACGCGGGTCAGTGCCGATTATCCGTTAGAATTTCTCCCCTGTGAGTTTCTTGATGGCGAACTCAATAGTTCTTTAAGTCGAGGTCGAATATTTCGATATCTTTTACGTCGTTTGTCTTCCCCGTACATTTTCCTTTCACCAATAATCATCATCATATTACTTCTAAACTATCATATTTCATTGGCTGCGATGATGACAGGGCCCAATGGCCATGAATTGGTCCGTATTGAGACGAATATTCTCCCCAAAGGAAAACTAATAGTAGTTTTCTGTGGATTGGCATTTGCTCTCCTCATCACTTTTATAGACCAAAACTCCATTGGTATAGCATTACCAACAATCGGAGCTGATCTTAATGCCGCAACTACAATTTCTTGGGCAGGCACTTCAAGTTTGATTGCCAATACAGTTTTCCAAGTACTTTATGGAAGAATATCAGATATCTTGGGAAGGAAAGTGGTGTTCCTCACTGCTGTGGGATTATTGGCGCTAGGAGATTTACTTTGTGGGTTCGCTCAGACAGGTCCTCAACTTTATGTTTTTAGGGGCATATCTGGTGTGGGGTCTGGTGGGATCATGGCCTTGGCTATGATGATTGTATCAGATGTGGTTACTCTGGAGAATCGTGGAAAGTAAGTTTATCCTAGCTATTACATTCAAAGTATCCAATACTTCGGACTGCTGTTCGACAACCAGGCGCTTATAATGATTGAAAGAAAATCAAGTTCCGGACTGAAATTAGTATCTCAGACTATTTGAATGTTTTGGCGGATTCAAGAATTCAAAGTCCTTGACTGTCGGGCTGTGGTTTTGAGCATTGGAGAATAAATTCTGTGGGTCATTAATTAACGAAATTCAGGTATCAAGGGATCTTAGGATCATGCGTCGGTTTGGGTAATACCATTGGACCATTCTTGGCAGCCGCTTTTGTTCAAAATTCGACGTGGAGAGGCCTATTTTGGTGTATATGTCCGCTAGCAGTGCTATCAGGTATTATGGTAGCAATTACACTCCCTCCAAGTAAAGTCCATGGCTCTACAGTGACCAAAATTCGAGTCATCGATTACCCAGGAATCGTTCTCGTGACCGCAGCCATCATGCTTATTCTGATTCCTGTCTCGGGCGGTGGTACTTATTTTGAATGGTCCAGTCTCATGGTGATTTCCATGCTCACCCTAGGTGGTATCTGTCTAGTTGCTTTCCTTATTGTGGAATGGAAGTTTGCCGTTATGCCAATGATGCCTTTGAACCTTTTCAAAAACCCTGCTGTCTTCGCCATTCTCACTCAAAACTTCCTCTTTGGTATAGTTTATTACTCGCACCTCTATTACCTCCCAATATTCTATCAGAACGCACGCCAATACTCACCTCTCATGTCCGCCGCACTTACTATTCCATTCGTCGCCACCCAATCCAGCTTCAGTATCGTATCTGGGCAATACATCTCCAGGACTAAACGCTATGGCGAGATCATCTGGATTGGGTTCATACTTTGGACTCTAGGATCAGGCCTTGTTCTCTTGTTCTCTCGGGAGATACCTAAGTGGAAGATAGTCTTGATACTCTTAACCGAAGGTGCAGGAGTGGGATTCGTTTTCCAACCTACCCTTATAGCAGCACAAGCACATTGTACCAAGCGCGATCGAGCAGTCGTTATCTCCACCAGGAATTTTCTACGTGCGCTGGGTGGTGCAATTGGTCTCGCGATTTCCTCGGCTATTTTCTCGAATTCCATTAAGTCCCGTTTGAATACGCTAGCAACTCCTTTACCAGCAGGGTTTAAAGACACAATTTTAGCATCAATATTGAGCGTCCCGAACTTGGATGTATTGACTAAGGGGCAGAAAAATGAAGTATTAGATGCGTATATGGGAGCGAGTCGAAGTGTGTTCTTACTTTGGGTACCGATTATTGGGGTTTGTTTTTGTCTTTGCGTGTTAATTAAAGATAAAGGATTGCAGAGACCGGACGAAAAGCCGATTGTTAGAGAAGAACAGCAGGAGGAGGGGAGTAGTGGGAGTGTGACCGGAAGTGAGATTGTGGTGGAGCACGAGGCTGGTAGGGAGAGGGATTTGGAGAGTGGGGAGGGCGAAAAGGTTGTGGGACCAGACAAACATTGAAATGAGCCTTCAGTTGTGGAAGAAAAAACCTTTGATTTCCATTGTTGTTTGGATGGTTAAGGTAAGGGAGTCGCATACCCCGATTTGGCATTGAAAGGTGGAAAAGGCGACGCTTGGATGATTAGAACACATGTAGACACACGATATAAGACTAGACTAATTCAATCATGAGATAATGACATAGGGCACGAATACCACAGTCTACAACTGATCTTGAACATAGACGATCGACGATGCATTCGTTGCTATGCTGCCTGATTTTTACGAAATATTTTTCCCGTAAAGAATTCCAGAGCCGAATTTTCGAAGAATTTCTTGCAAGTTCGGAGGCAAGTAACATCAATCGCTCGGCGCAAAATCCTTTTCAATTGTATGGTCTCCCTTCCTCCATGGCATATCTTCTTTTCTTTGATCATTGCTGATCCTCTCCAGGGCTCATATATTGGATTATACTTGTACATTGGATGATCCTCGTTCAAAAGAGCAGCGGCGAAGCTGAGTTTTGTGTTGTTTGTAGATGAACGTCCAACGTTTGTGATGATAACATTTAGCTCCACAGACGCACTTGGGATCCATAACAAGTAGTTGAATATTATATCGAGAATTTCTATCAAGTTTAGTTGAAGTTTCAAATATGAGAACGGGCTGGATCACACCTTGTGGAAACCTGAGAATATGATGACGGTGTGATTTCGGGAGGTTCCAGAAGTTTTCGCCAGGATGAATTTCTAATATTTGTCGGTTATTTTTGTTTCGAGAGGGATCTGATTTGCATTGCCTATTTGAAGGCGATATTTTGAATGTGTCAAAGGCTGGCCTACAATGAATGTATACCCATCGACATTAACAATATATGTATATTCTGTGGTACCACGACCATTATTATCGCTAGCAAGTTGAATGTCTGTACTCGGTACATAAGCCGATGTTACTCTTCTGCTACGTTTTAAAAGAGTCACTTACCAGCGCCAATTATATAGACCTTTCCATCTTTCCATCTCTGATAAATTCTATACCCTCAAACCACTTGTTGTAGACGTGTTTCTGTACAGCAGTCTCATAAGTGTCATCAGGACTTAGATTCACAGCTTGCGTGTTCCAACTCTGTATTACATCTTCGTGAGACAGAAGACCGTGGAATACTGATGATGAGTTTGGGTAATAAGGGTCTCTAGTATCTACCGCTTGGCCAGGATCGACTAAATACACCTTCTGATTTTTTCTTATCTGTATGGATGGAACCGCCGTCTTCTTCCAATGGTCCGGCGCTGTGTATAGGTGCTTCTTCATGATCCTGTCTTGATTTCGATCTTTCGATAGAATTCGCCATCGGAACTGCAAATGTAAGTTATGTATCGTAAAGCTTGACAAGGTAATGAATTGACTTATGAAAGATAGCTATCCACTTATACCGAAACTTGTGGGAAAGGAGCGAGAATTATATGTCCTCAAGGTAGCTAGACCTGATTAGACTCAACATCCTCGCTAAAAACAAAGTCGGGTAGATTTGATGAGTGTTGATTAGAATCAAACCACTGATGAAATTCACTGACAATAATCCTGACTCATTTCTAAATAACATTTAAAAATTACCTAATTCTATACCAGCAGAATTTCCTTCTCCATCAGGAGAAAGCGAGGTTGCAGGGCTATACTAATTTTAGATTGGAGGTAAGTATTATCAACAAAGTCGTCCGAGACTTCAAAGTAGCACCACATATCAATCACTTCTACAATATGACCGCAAATTTAAATGCGATGCTGAATCACAATTTTTAGAATGTTGGTAGAATAATTTCACAACACAAAATTTCAAGACATGGCACTGTCATTGAGAGGTTGGCACGAGTCCAAAAAATCAGCGCTATCAATAGTATTTGAATAACGAAACCTCCGGGGGTGACGATAGAGACAGCTGAACAACTCACTACCAAATTGTTGGAATTAGATGTATGAAGTAAATTAAGAGGATTGAAAATTCGATGAGAACAATTTAGAGCTATTTTAGAAGACTCTATGGGCCAGTCTTAGGCTGCACAACGGGTACCCGCGGGGCGGATAATGATCTTGACAGATAATCCGCGGATAATCTGTTTATAAAGCAAATAATTTAAAATCTGGATAAATAATCTGTAAGTTATCTGCAAATTATTTACAAATTATTTATATATTTGTAAATAATTCATATATTTATAAATAAATGGATTATCTATAGGTATATGGATAATTTGTAGATAATTTATAAATTATCTATAAATAATTCATTATAATATAAAATAAATAAGATAAAATAAAATTAGAAATATAGAATAATTAATATATTATATTAATTTTTATACTAATCACTTTATTTATAATTATATATTTATTATATATTATTATGTATTGTTAAAAAAAATAGAAATTATTATATAGATAATATTATTATAGAATATTATCAAATAATAATATTATTAATTATATGATTTTCTCAATAATATTATTAACAAATTAGATTATTTTATTCAATATTAGAATTACTTTTACTATTATATATTTTCAATATATTTAAATATAAATTATAATTCCTCATCAATATAGAAGTAATTCATTATCATTTTCTATAAGTAGTATATAAGCACTATATCCTTTAATTAATTATTTATTTTATATAAATAGTGTACAAGTTTATTACTAATAATTATTAGCTTTTTATTAATAAATAAATATAAAAATCTACTTTTAAATTTAATTATTATAGTAAATTCTATAAGTCGGGTACCCTACTTTCGGGCCACCCCTGTTTTGGGCCACTCTTTATTATTAAAAATCTCAAAAAATGGAATTTTTAACTTTCTTATTTATGAATAGAATTTATTGAAAATTTGTATATATATAATTCAGAACGTTTTGAATCTAATCTGAAAATTTTAGATTTTTTAGATTTTTCTGTATTGAGATCTAGAGCTTTAAAATATCGATTTTTTAATTTATATGAGAATCACATACAAATTTAGAACTTTTATAAAAATTTTGATAACTTTTTAACAACAATTATCAAAAGAAAACTGTATATCTTTTTGAAAGTTTTGAGCTTAAATCTATATAGAAATTCAAAAAAAAATTCAAAAAAATTAACAAATATAAAGATATAGTATACAGTGAGTTTGAAGTAGTATAAATAATCCCTGTAATTTTGAGGGTATTCTTTTAAATATCTATTTATAGAAAGTTTTCTTTTTTTTCTGAATCCTTCAAAATAAACATGTTATAAATTTATAATAAAATTCTATAGTTTATTTTTAATAATTTTTATTAAAAAGTTATTAAAGATTTTATAAAAATTTCAAATTTGTATGTGATTCTTATACAAATTTAAAAATCGATATTTTGAAGTTCTAGATCTTAATACAGAAAATTCCTAAAAATCTGAAATTTTCAAGTTAAACTAAAAATGATCTAAATTATATATATATAAATTTTCAATAAATTCTATTCATAAATAAGAAAGTTAAAAATTCCATTTTTAGTGTAAAAAGTAGCCCAAAAGGGGGGTGGACCGAAAGTAGGGTATCCGACTTAGCCTTTTATAAAGTTTTTAAGGTTAAACTCTAAATTTAAAAGGAATTATAATTATATATGATTTCTTTTATTAATTAATTAAATAATAATTTCAAAATAAGAAGTTCTATTGATTTTTAATATTATTGAATTTCTTAAAGTATAATAATTATATATATTTTAAAATCTTATATTAATTATTATATTAATTGTTTAATTTATTATTAAATTTAAATCTTTTTTTCTTTTTGTTTATATTATAAATATATGATTTTTTAGTTTGTAACTATATTTTCGTATTATTCAAAATAAATTGAATTATATTTAACTTTAAAAAAGATATATTATGCTTTACTAAGAAATTAATAGCTATTTAAAAATAAATCAGAATGATTTAGTTTATTAATATCAATTATAATGTAAATAGCTTAGAAATATTAATAAAAGAAGAATAGACTGAAATATAAATATAACAAATTAGAGATTAGAAAAAGTAATATTTAAATAAGAATTAAATCCTTATTTTAAAAGTAAGCGAATATATATTTAACATTTCCCTACTTTTAAAGACTTTAATTTATTCCAAGCCTTTTCAACCTTTAATATTAAATTCAATTTTTATATTAATCTTTATATTAATAATTCAATATATCTTTCAAGTATAAAGCTTCTATTGAATTATTTAATAATCCTTATACTATTAAAGTTCGAAATTGGTTAAATAATCGAAATAAATTTGAAATTTAAATCGAAAAAGCTAAAGTAAGTAATCAAATAGTAATTACTTATTGATTGAATATTATTTATTAATTAAATAAGTGAATTCAAGTAAGTAAGTTTAAGTAAGCTTATATAAAAGAATGGATTAAAAATGAAATAATCTATAAGTAATAAACTAAAATAAGCTTACTTTTTCCCTATTAATATTAATTTTAATCTTATTAAGAAAATAATAAATGTTTATGTATTACTTTTTCTTATTTCAAGCTCATTTTTTAAATCTAATCTTATATATCTGAAAATTACTATTCTATAAGGATTAAAACTATTTTTATTCCTTTAAATATTTTTGAAATGAAATAATATTCATATTATCTATAGCCTTTTTAATAATAATGTTGTTTTATTTGATAAGTTCAATAATGAATAATTCCGATCAAGGCGCGACTATAAATGATTTTGATTGAATAAATTTTAGGAAAAGGTTAGTTTTATTGTTACCCTCACCAAGCTCAATGTATTTCCAAACTTTAAAAGTTTTACTCTTTTTTTCTAATTTTTTATATTATTTAATCTACTTAACACAGTTATTTAGAAAAACACCCTTATAATTCTTTTTATTATTAAAAAGAGCAACTAGCTTAACTTTTGTTATAAAGATTCGGGTTCGAAAAGAACTTTACAAGAAATCAGTAAAATTATGTTATAGAAAGAAAGTAAATAATAAAAAATGATTATAAGAAAATAAAAGTATAATATATATGTTCCAGTTTTGTAAATTTATACAAGCTATTTAAAAATCTTTTAAAAGAATATTCTATAGTTTAAATGTTTACCAGGCTTATAATTAAAATAAATTACATAATATTATAAGAAGAGTTGAATTATATTTATTATTTTTATTACTTACTACTCAAGAAATAGTATATATAGGAATTTTAGGTACCTATAGGGTTCTTACCAGGTTTGAAAAGGTCTGATTTCTCATTATGTCATATGATATATTATATAAGCATAACCTTCGGCTCTGGCCGAGATTCCTCTAGAACCCAACATTCTTCACATAAATACTTGATTTTATTATTAATACTTAAAGTAGAATTAATAATATAGATTATATTAATAATGACTTTATATTCATTAGAAAGAGATAAGGTTAGGTTTTGAAAGAGTAATTTATTTATATATAAAGTACTGACTGAAATGTTTATAGATAAAAGCTTTTATTAAAGATCTTTAAGCTTATCCCAAATATTTATAATAATTATATCAAAAATGTTGTTAGATTGAAAAGAGAAGATCTTGATTTTGAAAAGGTACTTATTGACTATAATATTATTAATTCTGAAGTATTTAATAGCTAAATAATTTCAAAGTTTCTTTATTATATTATATTCTTTTACGAAAGTTTTATTATTATTAAATAATAAGTAATAAATATAAAATAATATATTAGTATTATTCTTAAAAAAGGTGGTCTTTTTATCGATATTAAATTAAATCTTTATAATAGCACTACTACTATTACTGAAGATTTGAAGTTCTTT